CTTTATATCACTCGATGGAGTAATCTTCTATAGCATGTTGACTGCCCTGGTGGTCACCGGAAGCCGGCACCATTAAATTACACGAATAAACGTTGAATTTCTAAAGAGAAACATTTAATATTTTCTAAATATCATTAGTAGTACAATAATAGGGAAAGTAATGAATGTTCAAGTCAACGCGTAAACACTCGTACGGTTAATAATGTTGCGCCAATTATAATAATCGAACACACGACGCACGCCAAATTAATATTGTGCAACTGGTCAGAAACTTGAAGTGGTGAGAACTCGAAAACTAGACTACGAAATATTATTTACTTCATATTAATTGTATTGATTCTCAGGATGAACTGAATTTTTGAGAAGACGGTAGCGCCTTGAGAATTCCCATTTTTCCCTGGTTGGAAAATGTCTCCGTCAAAGGCATTTCCTAAATTATAAATTAAGATTGGTTCAGCCCTGAAGCAGGAGGAAGAATTCTAGAATTTTTCAAGTTGGCATGATGGCGGAAATTTCTCCCTCAAAGCGAAGCGTATGCGAAAAGCTAATTAATCACATGGTCCAAATTTTTCTTAACCACGCCACGTTTATGAGTGCCTCAACAGTACGGTTTTATGGCCGTATCGTTCCGCGGGTCAGCGGTATAAACAGCCGCGTACAGAACAGATTCTAGACTCCAAATGCTGAAAACATTTAGTTGACGCTATATTACACAACTATACTAGCATATAGTTTGACGCTGAAAGGTATTCAAAATGTGTAGAAGATGTGTAAAAATCTATAAACGATACAACTTGAAAGAAGCGGATATAGAGGGTGTCCCCAAAATCGTAATACAACCGGCCGAGTGGTGATTCTATTAGAAAAAATAAGTCGAAAGAAAGAATAAATACTTCGTTTGAGGTTCTGTTTTCAAGAAAATGGAATTCGAAAATTAATCTAAAATGCGTGTATTTGTCATGGAAGTAAGCAGAAACAGACTGCAATGATCAGACGTGCTCGCCAAGTCCTATTCAATTGCACGCGTATCCAGCAGTTTTTTCAAGTGAATTATCTCGAAAACGAAGCCGTAAATTAAAAAATGTTATTCTTCTTTTTCGACTTGTTTTTGTTAATAACCTGAGTAAAACAATTAAGAAAATGTTCGAGCCAAAGACTAACGGATTTAAAGGTACATATGTAACCGTTGCTCTTGGTTCCACAGCAGAATACTAACCACTGCTATTAAGCAACAAATTGTACGACAAAATAAATAACAAAGACTTACACAAATGTAGGTATAATATCTTATAATGGTACTGTTCTACCAGTAAAAACAGTGGCATTCAACGGGTTAAATATCTTGTATACATGTCTTGAAGATTGTCTTCACATGTTCGAATAAATCCTACACCTCGATATTTCTATTTTGAATACTTCAAACATAGCAAACAATTCGCTTCAAAATTTTCTACTCATGTTCTCAGTTTTAGTAATAACAATGTAAAGCTGCAATCAAGAAACACATTGGTCGGAGAAACCGGCTGCAAAATGTAAGAGATTACTTAAAGTAGATCCTATAAGAGCTATACGTACCGCTATTTTATCCCCATAGTCATATTATCATATTAAGTAACTTAATTTCCGTGTTCCAGATACGATATAACCTACATATATCATAATATTACGTACCTACTCCGGATTTTAGAACTAAAGCCGTTGAATGATAATACCGTGGTAAACGTTCATGATCTTTTTGAAAATCACAAATGTAGTGTAAGTACCAATGTGAATCACCTAAAATAGTTTTATTTTATGGGAATCAAATTCTATGTTATAAAAATTGGAAAACAAACTTTAAAACGATTTAAAAAAATTGCAATTGAAAACAAATTAATGTTCACGATCTATCTATATTTTGAATACTTAATTGAATTAGTAAGTACGAATAAGAGCATCGGTATAACAAATTGAGAAATGTATGTCTATGTAGTATGAAATCATATTTGGTGTGTTAATAAGTCACCCAATATTTCTTGACGAAATCAGTACTCGTTTCTATGGAAATCAAAGATCTATACTGTTTCACTTGTATTCATAATGATTTACAAGTTCCATGGTCCATTAATTATTAATTTAATAATTGCTTAAAGTGACTCCTCCACCAAATGGGAATACCTTAATGAAGATTCTAGATAGTTTTATAATGATAAGTGAAGTATGAAAAATAAGATTTATTACCTCGATATTATTTTACGGTCATACGTAATTCGAACAATTTGTTCGTTTTGCGAGTGCAGGAAGACGACCGATGCATTAACGAAGCCAACGAAATGAGAAGTTCGTCGTACAACTTTGTTCTTACCTCAAGCCAGCCAGAGAAACGACCTATCTCTAACTAGTTCGTTTCAACAAATTATGTTTTTTCAAGAAGAAAATAGGAAAGTTTGAAAACTGATGATTTGAAAACTTCACCCGTATCTATTCACCACTTTATACTATGCGATAAATGGCGCACATACCATTCAAAACAAAATTTCAAAGACTAGTCTTTTCTAAAGTTACCAGTTAATCGTACAAAAATATATACTTTAATACAATTTAATTTAACAATTACGTATGTAACAAGTTAACAATTCTATACATAACTATATAAGTCCACGAGTTATTACGATTAGAAAACTGTCCTGTAAAATAACTTAAAATAAACTAACTATTATGTAAGAAGGCATTTACGACCACATTTGTCAACACTAATTTAAACATTTATATACCTACGCTGATTAAGAAATAAAGTAAAGGCATAAACTGAAAAATATACACTTTAATTATATATCACATACACAATACAAATACAACATTAATAATTTAATATAATCAACTTAATAAAGTAAATATTAATTAATTGTCTTCAAACGAAAAGTATGAAAGGATGAGTAAAAATAAATACAAAATTTATAATTAGCTTAAATTCTATTATTCCGAAAATCATATAATACACAACGAGAATAACATAAAACATAATGTATATTTTACTATTAATTAAAAGAAGACATACATAAATTATTATTTAATAACAGATTCCGCGCTTGCATAATTTCGAAATTCGATGTTCAAATTGTTAATAACATCACTATCTGTATAATCGCAATCACAAAGCATTCAAACAGTAGCTAACTAAAAACTGCAGTACTCTTTGGTATAATAAAATGAACATATTAACGTTAATTTGATGGTACGTAAATAAAACTGTAAAAATAATCTTCAATTTTTGGTGAAAGTCGAAAAAATCTATTTAATAATGTATCTTATACTGAAATAGTATATTTCGCAAATTACAATGCATCTAAATAATACTTAATATACAACACGCTAAAACGTTAACCTTTATTTTCTTTTTCAGTTTGAAATTCTTGTTCTTGTATTTTAATAGTTCTTTTTGTTTTTTCCTCTAAAATAGAATATATGTTCGAGGCTAGTCCCCAAGGATACGATGAAACCACCACATCTCTTTTCGAGTACATAGAGCTCCTCCCCTAACTGCTATCTCTTCGTAACTACAGTAAATCGAATATCGAATAGGGACCTACTACAACACTCTCTCATTGTAGTCTACGGAATTGTAGAGTATTTCATTATCGATCATTACTAAAAGAAATAAACAGTACCAAACTAGTACAGGATGAAGTACAGATAATGAAACACTCCAATCGAAATTTATTAAATTACTTAATTAATGTAATCAGAATGCAAGTAAACTCATTCTTGCACAGCAAATTATATGTATATGTATATGTATAGATACGTATTTCAAACAACTGAACTAAATGAATGAGGTGGAAATAATTATGTTGATAATCACAATTAAAATACAAATACTATACAAAGCATACAAAATACGCTAAATGTAAAGATCTACCGTTAAATAACTTTTAATATGGAGTTTCAGATTTAAGAAATCCAATAACACTTTAAACTTTAGAATTTCAATCGCGTAGAAATTATCTTAAAAACTGAAGAATTTGTTGGAGCTGTTATAATCACTCAATTTTACCTCTTGACAGTTTCTCCCACCTCCAATCGTTTTAAAAACAATTCCGCCAACTGTTCGAGACACCCAATATTCTTACAATCAAAACAAAGTCGAAACAGTGAAAAGTCATATAACTAAAGACACAGTGACACGTGCCCGCTCCAAAAACACGTGGCTCGCCGGCGCATGAAAATAAGTTGACGCACATCATTCTGACCAGGATTAATGTCACCTCTCAAAATGTATGGACACTCACTGTATGGACTCTTAAATATCACTAATACATTTTCAAAAAAGGACAGTCATATCATCAACAGATAATATTAAATAAAAGAAAACTTAAAACACTCCGAACGTCAAAATAAAACACTACGAAATCACTAACCGAAGTCACTAACTTCTTCGCACTAAGAATCTGAGAAACGTCGATAGAATGACCCATAACATTGTTCCTTTCCGTCAAAGAACTGCTTCGCAGTCATCTAGTATGTAAGAAATAGTTGTACCGTATAACAAGTATGTCGACCGTGTCAACAATAATATAATGATTAATAGCGCAATAATATAGACGTAGAGCATTTAAACGACCAATGAATAGAAGAGAGTGGCAGCTCATTGGTTCAGAGCAAAGTGGGACGCACGCGAGACTCAGGTGTGCAAGAGAGACAGCGCTAGCACGTGACACGTGAAACGCACGCTTCGCTAAAGTCACGCGATTTCTTCCCTACGGGAACGAAACAGTAGGTATTCAGTACAGCGGAGATGATACTGGCTTTTAAAATCACAGAAAGAATAGTATTAAGGAATAATTGCAAATATCTTTGGGCAAGGACACTAGTGGAAGGGAAACGATACTGGGGAGCAAGAGTCGGGTCGGTACGACGGTGTGCGTCTACCAAGCGAGCATAGGCAGACAACAAAAGTGAAAAAAGTAAGCGCGAAGGAACGAGAAAGAGGGAACGAGTCGACCTTTTCGTGTAACGCTTACCTCGTGTGCCCGGGGATGTTGGTGACTGCAATGTCGATGCTCGAACATTCCACACACAAAATCCACACTACACACCACAACTATAATCACGAGCGGCAATATAACGGTGCCGCATTGCATCTTCAACCGCACTAGAACCGCCATCACGGACGACACTCGCGCTTGCAAGGCATGACACATACTGAGCGCGCCCGCCGACACTGCGCATTTATATACACGTCGCGGCATCCAGCGCCACACCACTCACGTTCGATATCTCGAGCACGGCAAGCGGCAGACGCTCTCTACTGTCACCCCGGTAACTCCTTCGAGAGTAACCTGCAAAGAAATCGAACTCATATTACGATAAATACAATAAAAATCACATTTTCTCTACTGCTTTGTAATAACAAGTTACTAATTCATTGGTTGTTTTGATTAACGGACAATCGAATATTGCATAATTTATTATCATACTAATTTGATTTGCAGTTTAATTTTTGTGGGAACCTCTAGTACACGTATGAGAACAAAAATTAGTTTTGTTTTATATTAAAATTGTAATACACTTCCGCTCGTAAGTACTAGGACATTTATCGAATACGCAATAAATGTTACAACCTAGATAGCACGTGACACCTTGAAGACACCTATTTTACGTCTAACGCGCCTTTAAGCCGTCTTTAAGGCGTCATTGGGCGTCATATGCTATCTGGGAAGATATTACAAAATTGATAAAAGTCTGGAATAAATATTGTTTAAGGGATATTAATGCTCGATGGACAACGCTTACGCTACTAAGAAAATTTCATGTTTCATAAAAATGATATTGTTTAGGCCACTTTTATTACATCATATGTGATCATATATGATGTAATAAAAGTGGCCTAAACAATATCATTTTTACGAAACATGACATTTTCCTCATACAGACGCAGTATTGTAAATTTATGAGCTGCAGCGTATACATTGGCTATGTATTCGTAATATGAATTTCGTATCTAAACCCAGATAGCACCGTACATCCAAAGGACGTCTGTTCTGTAGAATTTAAATTTCGGATGTTCTAGAAACGTCCGTCCCGAAAGTCCTACGGATGTTCTCAAAACTTAAATTTCACATGTTTCTAGGATTGTCCGTTTCTGAAGTCTTACGAATGTTTGTAGGATTTCAATTTCGGATGGTTTCGTTTAGTAATTTTGGCTCAATGTCATTCCTTGCAAGGTGATGGAACTCGATGGGCAAGGTGTCATTCTTTAGAGAATCAATAGAGAAGTGTGACGACTCAAGTGGTTTTGTGCGGAAACCTCAGGGAATTTGAAAAAATATTTTTTCTTTCTTTAACTGTCTCTAATCGACAGAGAATCAGTACTTTCCTTTGAGTAGGTGGTTTTTTTAAACATGCTCTAACTAACACAGAATCAGTATTTAACTCACAATCAGTATTTTGCTTTGAAAATAAAAAAAAACAATGTACACACAGATCATAACCCCTAGACCTATATTTTCATTATAATTCCTTATAGGATATTTAACCTTTTATTTATTAACAGGAACTAACTTGATCTAATTTCTAGTAAGTGCGCAGATCGTAGGAATGTTAATCTTTTATTTAGTAAACACAAAACAACCTAACCTAACTTTCATCACCTTGCACATAATGAAATATAAACGTAATGTTAAACATTCGGAAAACGTTTCTTATACCTCTGTTGAGACATTACTACAAACTCTTTAAACGTTCCCGAAACGTACAGAGAATGTTACTTTTACACATTTGAAAAATGTTCTGAGAATGTTCACACAGGACGTCCTCAGTACGTTCCATTTTGTAAATAAGACCTTCCTAGAACATTTAAAGATCTTAACGAAAACGTAGGGGGGACGTGATGTGGATCTTTTTGGGACATCCTTCATATGTACCGAACGTCCGGATCGTACGTTCTCCGGACGTATACATATATGTATATGACGTTTTTGTGCTATTTGGGAAAGGGTGTCAAATATTATTTATTAAATACCTCTTGCATTGGCGTTCTATGCAATCTAGTTATACTATATTTATGGAATAAGTATTCTAACGATGCGAATGCTAACAGAAATACATTTTTATGTAATAGCTTGTATAATCAAATTTATAATTTCCCGTCACCAAATGTAATAGAAAACATGAAAGGATTCTAACGATATTTGTTCCACACTTAATTAATGAAATCAATTTCTATTTCGACACATTTCATGTATAAGAGAGAAGTGAGTATTATTCAATTATAGTTATTTATTTCTCGAATAGCAGTTATGTAATTGTAAAATGTCTTGAACCAAAATGATACAAATTTAAAAAAGGTGATAAAAATAAAAAACCATAAGTTAAAAATAAAATTTTATTGCAATACACTGAATTGCACATGAAGTAAAGTGCGCATTGGTACTAAGAAATATACGGTGTGTTAAGTATTTATAAATTTTTTCCTAATGTATTCTTTATAGTCGTATAATTATTATACAAAAATAATTAAGACTTCTATTTTTAACAAAGTATATATATATATATTTAGAAAAAAATTTATAAATACTTAACACACCGTATATTTATTAGTACCAATGCGCACTTGATTTCATGTGCACTACAGTGTATTGCAATAAAATTTTATTTTTAACTTATGGTTTTTTATTTTTATCACCTTCTTTAAATTATAGTAAATAAGTTAAATAGAACAAAAAATATTCATATGAAATACACGGAAAGTTTACTGTTGATGACAATAGAGTAAAATGCTGCTAACAGAAATTTTTATAATGTAATCTAACAATGTACAATATTACTTTAGCGACAAATATGTCTAAGTACTTTTTGTGCCTATAGTATATAACATTTATGTAACTGAGCACACATTCGTGTACAACATCCAAAAAGTTATAAAGAAAATGAAACACAGTCGAAATTAAAATCTAAAAATAATCAAAGGATTTTTAAACATAGTCAGACGGGAAATTGTTTTGATATTAAAATAGGAATTCTTAGAAGCATAATACTTCCCGAATTTTCCAATTTTAATAACTTTATCCAGCATAGTTAATTTATAACTCCAGTAGATATATGACATTCATTTAGCATTATTACCATTGTGTTACTTATAACAATTTGGTTAGTAAATAATGTTACTAAATGTTATTAACAATTTATATTCTTTATTTAAAGAAATACAATTGTATTACCTTTCATGATATAGGCTTCCTACAATTAGATTAACATTTCTCATTTCTTAATAAAAGTATCTACAAGAAATACTTATTCCTAATTTGTCTAAAGACATTACACTTATCGTTAATAATCACTTGACTGATATTTCGACAAGACGCAAAAATACTCATACAATCGTAGTTCGAATCAAACAAAGAATGCTCGTAACTTCGAACTTAATACAATATAAATTACATTTTGCACTGTTTATGACTACAAAAGTAATTGAAAATTTACGTGACTCATAATTTTATATATAGATGTAGCATATTCTGATCTAAACATTCTTGTTAAATATTTTCAAATTTGCAGAAACCAGGACTAATAATTAAATTTCTTATTGTTAATGTTTTTTTAAATTTAGAGCTTATGTAATTGTTCAAGTTATCATTTAGAATGCAATATTACTTTAGGGAAACATTTAGACTTCATTGCAATCAAACTAATAATAAATTAATAAATAATAAATTAATTAACAATTTTCTCTAATATTATAGTATGTGTATGTAGTTTAGCCCTACATATTCGATTTGCTTAATATTCACGTTCATATCTGGAATCTAGTGTTGTTAAAATGAGCCTCGAGTCTTGAGCTTTAACAGCTCGAGTCGCGGTTCAAACCCTAAAGGCTCGAACCCTCAAGGTTCGAAGCTTGAGTCGTGAAAGCTCGAGTCTTTAACGCTCGAGCCTTTAAGCTTGAAGGCTCGAGTCGTATAAATTATATGTAGTGAAGTAATGTACAGACCTTGAATTTTCGAAGCCTTAAAACTTAACCTAAAAATTTTCAGTTTTTAACTCTGATATTACACGAATCTCAAGCTTTTAAAGATTCAAGGGGGAATAATCCAAAAACGTCCAGAAAAGCGTGGTTTTTATAAATTAGTTCTGCAACACCCAAACCTCATTAAACTATTATTAATAGGGTGATCAAATATATATTTTGGACAATACGTTAAATTTTCTTTTATTACAAAATACCTATGTATACTTGAGCAAGATATACGAGTCATAGGATGTTACGCGTCGAACAAAATAATTTCTCAATTTGTTCACGGTTCATTGATCAAAGTTGGGACATTTTTTTCGTTATTCACGTGATATTCGACTTAATATTCTGGTAGAATATTTTCGAAAAATTATACTTTGAAAGTATATATATAAAAAACTTAATTTTTGCCAATCGTCACTGTGTTATTCCACATTAAGTCTGAAGCTTTAAGGTTCAACCCTCTAGAACCCTTAAGTGTTAAATAATGGAATTTACACTAAATCTATAATATTATACTTTATACGGTTTTTAAAAAATACAGCGATGACTGCAAACACATGAGAGATTGATACCAAGAAAGGGAAATGAAAAATGAAACAAAATAACCATTGAATAGTAGACGAAATGAAACATTGCTAAAAATTTGTCTGTAATGTTCAAAATATAGTATTATCTGATCGACTGGAAACATACTCTTACGCCGTGGGAGTCATAGATGACCGGCAGCAAGATTAATGTACTACGCATGATAAGTTTGCACAATACATATAATCATATTGTGTAATATATTATTATATGATTCTAATGGGCAATCACTCTTTGGCGCTGAAGACAAAACCAGCAGAAACACGCTCAGCAGTGAACGTGTTAAACATAAAAGCCTCGAGCTTCGAGGCTCGAGCCTCGACGACTCGAGTCTTGGAGCTCGAGCCTTGAGCCTCGAGCTTCATATGATTGTAGCCTTAAGACTCCTTGTAGACTCAGTCTTTAAGGCTAAGCTTTGTAGCTTCAAAAACTCGAGCTTTATACAACACTACTGGAATCTCAAAAGTAACATGGTCTATGCATTAAACACTGACATTAAATTTTGGTAATGTCATTACCGTTTACGTTTAGTAAAATGCCTTAATATGAGAAATTCGATTCTAATTACAGACTCCTCTCGATTATTGTCTGGCTTGTTCTACACGATTATTGTCCAGGCATTATCCCCACCACTGGGGGAGGGGCGTTGAACCTGTCAAATGTATACTTTGTTGCCTCTTTGCTTTTATTGCCGTGGCTCAGGCATCGGACAAAAAAAACGAATTTACGAGGGTCTGATAAGCATTTCTCCTTCTAAGATTATTGTCCCGGCGTGGACCCGAGTTCGAGACGATAATCGAAAGCAGTCTGTAGTCGCTAAAATACCAGGAATCTACACAAGCTCGCGTAAAAAAATTGTTTAATAGAACATTTTTTTCTTTCATCTCGCGAAGTATTTAGCTTTTGGAATAAAGTAAGAAACAACAAATTGTTTTAAAACGTATAGTAAACAGATTACACACAAGGAAAGAATGCACAAAAATTTTCACCACTAAATATCAATACTTTGTTCGCGATGTTATGATGTCGGAATTATTATATCCTAGATAGCACATGCCGTCTTGAAGACGCCCATTTTACGGCTATTTTAAGTCTAAGGCGCCTTTGAACCGTCTTCAAGACGTCATTAGGCGTTATGCGCTATCTAGAATGATTTACATAAGAGTTAGTTTGTAATTGTTAAGTAGGTATGTCGGAAGATTGCTAACGGATAATGTATGCTTACTATTAGATATTGTAAAATGGTGGGTTATCAAACGTAATAAGAAGAAATGATTAATTGTGTGTAAAGGTAATTTATTACAGATGATGTATACATTATTTTTGCTTCTGTTCATTTTAATATTTACATGTTTGCGCATACCAATTTTTACTTCTTAAACAGTTTTCATTTACACAATGTGGGCAACGTGTTAAAAACTTTGGGCTTATCGATCGCTTCGACTTCATGTGAGAATGAACAATATCTGTCAAAGCATCTATAAACATAGGGTGATCATTTGGAGCGGCAGCTCTTCTTATTCTTTCGATACCAAGCTACAAATAAAAAAAAATTAAAAATTTCTTTTCTAATATTTTATAAAGTCTCGCAGAACAAATGCTTACTTCATGGGCTAAGTCTTTGCAGTACTCGATATCCATTTCGTGAAGTGTTTCAATATGTTCGTTAACAAAAGCTACAGGGACTAATATAAAATTCTTTTTCCCTTGTTTTACGTACGCTCTTAAAGCATCGTCTGTAAAAGGTGCCAACCAAGGCAAAGGACCAACCTAAATACAGAGTACTTAAATAATTAAATGGTATAATATAATTAACAAAAAAACTCTTAAATATCTCAACAGATTAAACAGTAAGAAGGAATGCATTTGTTGAAAAATTGACTTTTCGAATTAACACAAGTAAAGGCAAAAACAAACTAAATGGCAAACCTAAATGAAATTATCTTATCAAAAAATTTAACTCTATACGCTATATTGAACTGTTGACTTGTGCAGATACTAACATTAACCATTATTGGAATGCCATTTATAAATCAATAACAGCTTTTTATAATTATGCATTTCGTTTAGCTATCCCAAATGTAAATATTTTCAAATAAGTTTATATAGACATGGCTAATGTGAAAATTGAAATTTTAATATTAAAACAATAAAGTTTTTATTAAATTAAGTAAACTAAATAAATTAAACTAAATAATTAATTAAACTATTAATTTACAGTTTTATTTTTTTTAATTTTGCATTGTAATATCAAAGATCTTTATATGAAAATTTTATTTTAAATCAAGATTTTAATACTTCATTTAACCATTTTTTCTCTTTACAATGCGTAATATATTATTTCGACCAATATCTAGTAATTGTATTTATATATAAACTGACATTGAAATATTAAAATACACTTTCATATACATGTATGGAAATTTGCAACACAATAATCTGCAGACAGAGTTTATATAAAGTCTACGTGAACGTTACATTAATATTAGTAACAAAGAACTAGAATTTACTTTTGTCCTCATAAATGATATACAATTAAATTCGATTGCCAAGATAAGAAATATAACTCTGTTCACTTTTCTACATTCTTATTATGTGAATACTTATTGTCATCACTAAAGGTAACACCAAATTGGAATCACAAGCACAGGTGTATATCTTGCTATTTTGTACTCTAATGTAATCACTGAAGTTAGTTAACATAATATGCGTTCCAAAATCAAATGCAAAGAGGAAAACATTTTATATGTATTTTATATGTACAATATCTTTTTGTAAGTTATTCTCAAATTCATTATTTACAAAAGCTTGATTGAAACAATAACTGTACCTTCGACTGCCATACTAAATTGTATGGATTACAGTAATTCAATTCTTGCATTACTAAAGCCACGGTTGCCCCGATTTCAGATGGATAGGGGTCTCCTCTGTTTACAGCCTAAACACACAAAGTCGCAGAAATTCTTTTTTTTTAAATTACGATCTTATTACTTATTTTTAGTATTAAGATTTAGTAACCTTTAATGGAAGTGAATGAGCTGAAAATAAAATTATAACATCATCCTTTATTTCTTTAGGAAATTGAACTAATTCTTCCGTAATCCTTTCAGCAATTGTCTTTATTAATAACGGGTGTGTTGCCCATCTATCTATTACACTCCATTTCATACTAGGAGGTAGTTGCCTGCAAATTACAAATTCCTAAATACAATACAATACATATTTTACTTACTTAGTGGACAAACATAGTAATTTTAGTAAACATAGTAACCACATTACTGCAACGTGTTACTGAGACATGCTACATTAGATGCTAAAATGTATACAGATAAGTCTTTGAACAATCAAATTACTAAATATACTGTATGAAGAATTAGAGAACAAATTATTTTTAAGAAGAATAATAGAATACTTCAAGCTATTGAAATTGTTATAACTCTTAAAATTAAATATTTGCAACAAATTTACAAAAGTTATCAGTGTTTTGTCTTCATATAGTAACTTAAAACACTATACATCATTGTACAATATTTTTCAATGTTGAAATATATATGATCCTTGATGTTAGAATATATATTTATTTATTATATTCTATTTCACGTTAAAATGAACTTTATGATTTTTTGAAAAATCACATTCAGATTCATAGCGCAGTATAGCAACTGAAAAATGGATTGAGTAGTACAGTTGTAATTATCAATGTTATTTCAATTTAATTTCTATATAACTATACTGCACTGAAATATTTAAGTCTAGATAACACAAATTTTATGTGCATAATTTTTAAATTCAAAATCATAGATATCTATGAAAAATTTTGTGCTTTACATTAAATTTTAAATCCAGAAGAGCTACCTTTTCTTATAATACTTATATATTGCATTAAAGCTGGATCCAGTTGTAGCACAACTATATTGTGGATATTGAGAAAATATTATTGTATGTTCAGGGCCATCTCTGAAAAGGAAGCATTCACACACTATATAAAATAAAAGTGATAGTTTCTTTGCTTTAAGTGTCAGTATCTTAATATTACTACTATTCAGGAGTAAGTCAATGTTCTTACTGCTCTAACTCTTGTAATGTATCCTGAGTAAGAGGATTGGCATATCGAAAAGCAACATAATACTTATGAGGTGCAGTTTCTGGTGAAACATTATCCAACTGTTTGCATAAAAGTTCACCTTGCATATTTGTCCATTTTAAAATAGGAGATCCACCACCAATTTCAGCATATTTTTTTTGTACTTCAGGTGTACGACGTTTTGCTATCCAAGGACCCAATTGACTGTAATATATATTATAATGTAAACTTCTACTTAGAATAATAGTAAAGTAAAACCTATTGGTTCATATAAATAAACCTTTGAACTGGTAGTTGGATCATATCACGATCAGTCATTATGCGTAGCAAATACTCATGCACCTGTTCAGTAGTAGTGGGTCCACCCATATTTAACATTAAAATACCTGTTTTTGGTTTAGCACTATTCATTTGTTTCGGATTTACTGCTATGGACATTTGACGCCAAGGTAAAACAAAATATTTCCCATATTGTTTTCCTATGTAACAATGGATAAAAATATATTGAAATATATATAATGAAAAAAAATCAAGTACCAATCAAATCTAATCACAAATATGAATATACTATTCATTACTTTAAAGTATATTCACTATTCACCATTATAAATATTTTATAACTGTTGGAAGAATTGTATAGCGTTGAAGTTATTTATATACAAATAAGAATATAATACAGTAATTACAGTTTTTACTTACCGAATTGCAGGAACGTCGATAAATTACTTGCCATGTTTAACAAAATAACACTTCAGAAGAGGTAACGGAAGTACCAAATGTTTAATCACGAATGTATTTAGAAAAGCAATAGTTCTTGCACTGTCACGGTGATGTCAAACCCATACTAAATACTTCAGGTTAGTTTTAGAAACTAGGTTATGTGTGTTCCAAAAAAGGGGTTCCATACAACATATTACACGACACGAGATTGTTAATAGTTTTTAAACACATTACTGTAATAATTAGTATTTACAGTAAAAGTGTATCAGTAAAAGAGTATTTATACGTTTAACAAGTAAAACGATTATCAAACTACATACACATTTAATAAGAATAAAGTAAAATCATGACAGATCAAAGTATTGATGAATTGGGACCATCAGAATTAGGTACTCTTGATTAGTAAGTAATACATACCGTGTATAGAAATATGAAACTCTCTACTAACATTACTTCACGCGTTGCAAATGTACTTTACAGTTGGGAAAAAGTTTACACAGACGAACTTGATAATTTCAAAGATCACGGAGACGTAGGTGAGATATGGTTCGGAAGAAATAGTTTACAAAAAATTATACGGTAAGTTATTTTAATAATACACAAAAAATGTTATTAAGTACATATTATGTATTCTACACAAAAAGTAAATTCATGACAAGGATACTGTGTACATCATATATAAATATTCCAATTGAAGACAGGTGGCGCTATCTTTCGCATGCTGTAAGCATTAAACAAATTATTATCATTGTAGGATAATTTGAATCTTAAATACATAATGTATATACATACATATGCTTTTGTCACATATACATATGTACGTATATGTGAATATATATTTTAAATCACAGATGTCGTATCTCGTCAATGCTTTAATGTATAAATGTAATAATTAAAGAAATTTGTTCTAATTAAGTAATTCTTTCTATATGTTTTACTATAATATATTTAACATGTACATCCCAGTCAGCCAAACCTGCATAGCCAAATTTTGTTTAATGCCTGTTATAAAGTTATGGCTACAAGTTTTATGCACGATTTGCTATAAACAACTTGCGTGCACATTGGCAGCAACATAAGCAGCAAATTGGCAGCAACATATGCAACAAATTCGTTTGCACAAACCTTGTTCCAGTTTTGCCCTCAATTTGACATGGGTCATGTTGCAAGACTTTCTGCCAATTTGCTTTACCATTTTGTTTGGCATTGCCTGCAAAACCCAAGGCAAATGTGGAAACAGATGGCTATGGTTTTTTATACAATTTTTATCATTTCTTGCTGGCAATTTGCTCGAAACTTGTACACAACTAGTTATCAGGAATATTGTAAGTTCTTTAAGTGTATTGTAGGAGTTTCCATTCTGTTATTTAATTATCAATGTCTCTTTTAATGTTTTAGTTGGATAACTACAAAACTGAAGCTTGATAAAGAGAATGATAAAATAGTAGACATTGGATGTGGAAATGGAATGGCATTAGTAGAACTTGCAAACAAAGGTTTTACAAAACTAGTGGGTGTTGATTATTCACAAAAAGCAATTGCCTTAGCTCATGAAATATTGAAAGAAAATAATATATCACATATTAACTTAAAAGTCTGCGATATTTTGAATTTAGAAACACATGAATTATTAAGAGATTTTAAATTAGTACATGATAAAGGGACTTATGATGCAATCAGCTTGCATCCACAAGATCCTGCAACAAAACGAAAGAAGTACATAGAAAATGTTAATAAAATTCTTGTACCTGGTGGTTATTTAATTTTAACATCCTGTAACTGGACCAAAGAGGAATTGGAGAGTCATTTTCAAAGTAGTAAGTTATTTTACTAAAAATAATTATTTTGGTTTATAATTACTTGATTATTATTTACAGTTTCATGGTACTTTACGTAAAAATCAAAATTAAATCGGAAATATCTCCGAAATTCAATGCTATTTTACAAAAAATAATGGTTTTTTTTAAATGCTGCAGATATGTTATGACATTAAAGCCTTCTATTTTAATTAAAATAACTTCAAAAATATTTGTTTTGAATCGATTTAAAATGCTTCATGCAATAGAAAACTAATTTGTTATATCACAAAAGACTAAAAACATTAAACAGGATGGCATGAAACTGGTTGTACAACTGGGTAGGGGGTGATTCTACATGAAAAAATAAATCGAAAATATAGGATAAAATTTGTTCATTACAGTTCGTGTTTGAGAAAATCGACTTTAAAAATCTGCTGGATACGCGTGCAGTGAAGAGGCTTCGCTAGAGCGTCTGTTCATTGCATTCCGTTTCTACTTACAACCATGACAAATTCGCGCATTTCAGATTAATTTTCGAAGTCGATTTGTTCGAAAGCGTTGCAGTACGCAATTACTGTAATAATTCCTTACATGTTATCATGTCACAAAATTATTGGCACATTTTATAAAGGTTACTACTTTGATAAAGTTAATATTTGCTAGTTTTGTCTTACAATTTAAGCGAATCTTTTTGGCATCCATTTTGCAATTATTTTTAAACAATTACCTTCAATGTTTGGCCATTCCTCTTTTAATCTATTTTAAAAATCAAGTTTATTTGTAATAGGATAACAGCGTATGTGAACATCAAACCTATTCTATACCATCTCAATTGGGTTTAAGTTTGACAATTGCGGAGTATATAATTTATTATTTGAGGGTATAACCATTACTGCACTATTTTTTATTTGTGCTTTGGGTCATTGTCTTGATAAAAAAAAATATTTTTTAAATTACCTAAATACATTATTTTATCTGTCATTCCTATAATAAAATGTAATGTACCTACACTTTAATAACTAATACATTCCCAAACAAAACGACTGCTACCTCCATGCCTAATTATATATATTACACAGATTTATAGGATTTATGTGAGTTACTCTGCATCAGATATTAAGATATAGTCTCAATCCATTTAAAATAATTGCTCTCTGTGAGTAGTTATTCCATTTCTTGAAAACATGTAAACATTTGTAATTATGTAATTCATATGTTCTGTACCATGCAACTGGTTGAGACACTATTTTCAATGGTTAGCAATATAAAAAAATGAAGCAAATCTTTTTAGCAAACATTCTTGTACACGAGCATAATTTGTTTCCAAAAATACTTCTGATATTCAATTCTTTTTGTGATTGAAATATCATTTAACAATTGATAATTATTCAGTACCAAAACCATTTCTACTTTGCACATCACACATTAAGGTACAATCTGTTTTTCTTTAAATCATGATTACCAGTAGTATTAATAAATTATATTATGTTTCAGGTTTTAACATTTTAGATGTGCTTCCATTTAATACGTTCCAGTTTGGTGGACAAACAGGAAACACTATAATACAATTAGTCTTTCAAAAGAAATGATAAATAAAACTGTTCGAATATTCAAAATATAAAACTTTCTATTAACCCACGTGTATAATTAGTACCCTCTAAATGACAAGTAGCAAATAGAGAATCTCGTTATATTTACTTATACTTAAATACAACAGTCAAGTACACACAATGAATTCTTTGAAGGCTGAAATATTTATTTGTGCATGAATTAATTGTACAGGTAACACGTTAAAATAATCAAGGTAAGTAGTATACAATACTATTGTACTATTATTAAGTTACAAACGTTATAAAATGCATTACATCTAAGATAAGCGCTCACATAAGTTGGTGTGGTGAGAAACTTCATATTAATGTAAGTTACACCTATTTAATTGTTATGTACTTTCATGTATACAGTAAAATTGATAATTAATGTACCATTGACACGTAAAATTCTTACATGTCCTTTGCTGCTCCAAAGTATTGAATCACTCTGAGTTTCTGGTTATACAAACATAATTAAGTGGATGATGAAATGTTAAAAATTATGGAAGTATATTGTAAACTTCATTGAATATATTATTTTTGAATTGGAAGAAAGTTTATAAAGAATATTATCGAGTGATTCTAAACATTTGGCCATTTGTGTACATTTAGTAACTACATTTGAATTGTTACACTACTTATACTGTGCAGTATGTGTCGCATACATTTACGAATATAGTGTTTAAGGAAACCATCGTGTTTATACAGACATTTTTTCAGTCGGAGTTTAGTGATTTATTTATATTTATTATGTTGTATAATAGTGTTGAACTACGAAAATTTTGTATGATTTTGTTCTTATTTGTATGGAACTATCGAATGAAATATTTCTTTCAATGATAAATGGAACTTTAATAATATTTGTTCAACCTTCAGGACATTTTTCAGGGATTTCAGAAAAATTAAAAATAAAATTAGAATTAATATTGTTATCTAAACGAACAATTTGAAATTTTATATAGAAAATAATATATATCCGTATAAATACGTTTACTTTAGCATACAGTGTGTTTGATAATATATGGATATAATTCCACAAATGAATTCAGCACTTAAAGAGTGCATATAAATACATACAATACTTATTTGCTATTACCAAATTATCAGTTTCTATTAAGCGTTCATTTTTTTTTAGAAGACGTACTGTTACTTTGTCATCAAATAAGACGAAATGTTAGAACGCCAGTTATTTCTCTTATTACTTAAATACCAAATTTATTGATAAAAGTAAGATCATATTTTATAATATGACTCCTATGTGTAACTGTCACCTATAAAATTGATGATTACCTGCTGTTTAGACAGAAATAACATTATTTTCCTGTTATATAATTTAATACATTATGTTACTTATAAGCTATTTTAATATCTTCTGATCAAGAATCTGCCTGGCTTCTCGATACAATATTTTTTAGTTAGTACTACATTTTCATTCCTGATTAGTATTAGATATCCCCTGATAATGTATTTGTACTGTTTTACCAGTGCAATTTTTTCCTATTACGAGATTGGTGGCCAACTACCGCGGAAGTAAGATAAACGTGCAAAATGAATCATTTTACAATGAGAAGTAAATGTTTTAATTTTACTATGTGTGCATATGAGAATAAAATCATTCTCGATTGGCCTGCCATTCACTTTAACATCATTTGGAATTGGACAGTGTTTCGAGTAATGACTAAATTAAATGTAGCTTGAATGTGTTCAAATTCATTTTCATGAGAAAACTGCATTTTTAGTGGAACGATATAGCGTGGCCATACAGTAAGTCCTCGATAACGATTATTTCGTTTCAATGCATTAAGAGGACAATACTTGTAACTAATGATCATTCTTTTACTATTAGAGAAAGTACTAATTTTAATTGTAATTTCCAATGTTAAAGTTTTTGTACGCGCTTAAATAGCCATCGTCTTTGAATTAAGATAGAAAAGGTATTGAACAGAAGCAAAATTTACACAGTTCGTACAACTTTGAACTTACTTAGTTAAAGACTTTAATCCCTACATTTCTATCAATTCATTTGTCTCAGAGCTTGAAATATAAGTATTTTAGCTTTCGACCAACTCAATAATTACACTATATGTATAGCCTCTATTAACTATAAGAATATACTGGCAATGTTCTCAAATATATAAATACCCACTTATCTTATCTCCGTTAGCCATCGGATCCAATTGATGGTAGATTGGCATTCGCTCACTTTTTTCTGTAGGCGAAAACTTAATTTCAGTTATGTATAATGTAATTTTAACGGCTACTAGGCGGAAAATTCACACTTGTCAAAATGCTAACTCGGTGCAGACAAGCAGTTCGCGGAAGTTTGCCGCCGCATTACAGTCGTCAATTTTTTCTTGACGCCCGCTGTCAAGCAGTAACTTTGTGTTTGTTTCAAATAGTTTTAAGTTTTAATGAACGGAAAGTGCCGTCGAGGAGCCGCTAAAATTTGCGTCCCGTTTGAACTGCTTCATATGAATCCATAATCTGCTAAAACTGCAACACACTTTGGCTACGGTTAATGAGATTGGTATTTGAGATGCATTTATCGTATCTACGATCTCGACAATTATGAAATATTAACATTGTGAAGGAGAATCTAATTAGCGAATTTTAAATGAAAAATAACCGAACAATTCCCAGATAGCACATGACATCTTGGAGACGTCCATTTTACAGCTATTTTAGGTCGAAGGCGCTTTTAAGGCGTCATTAGGCGTCATATGCTATCTGAGTTCATAATTTCCGCAGAAATTGTATTATAAATTGTATTATAACTTGCATGTAAAGCGTATGGTATCCAATTTTTGAACGACCGTATACCCCATTTGTGTGTATAGTTTAGTTTTCCTTTAATTAACATGGAACTAAGTCTATTTATTTATATGTCTGAAGGAATAGTGCATAACAATTCATTATTAGGTATTAGTAAATTAAATCATATTTATGTGTAATTTCGTAATTTGAGGAAATAAGTAATAAAACGTTTCGTTCTGTATATAATAATTACATCTTATTTAGATTTATAGATTCACTTAAAAGAGCTTGAGTTTTATAAAAAGATACAAGGGGAATTAGTAGAAAATAGTGTCGTTTGTAAATCAATTAGATTGCGTCGGATATTTCATGGTGATTCCAGTTGCCACGATCAATCATAAGAATTCTTGATAAATTTTTGTATTGAGTTTGGCTGAAGATTCATAATGTGTTTTTTCAAAAATTAAATTAGAGGTGGTGGTATGTTCATCTATATTGTAGTTTCCTTTTATAAGTATGTTTTGTCGACCCTCTTATAATGGCACTGTGATCCGCAATATATTATGGGGTTTTCGTCGTTTTCCATCCTACATCACTATTTCTCTTCATCTTCGTCGGTGAGCCAAAAGCGAGACGCCAGCTAATGAAACTATCATCGAATCGTATCTATTGCTCTCTATAATTACGTTACGTGAACTATACATATGATATAATTACATAGGAAGGGGATTATTATATCTTTGGTGGGCGGGCAAACAAGTGTAAGTCAAATTTTAGTCAAAACAAGATAACTACGCTAATGTATATATTCTATATTGCTCTCCTTTGCTTATGGTAATTATATAATTTTATTATGAAAAAGAATTTCATTTACTGAAATTGCCAGTCAAAAAGCCGAAAGAAGATACTTGCCATGCATGTGATGTTCTTAAAATGAAACTGACAGTAATTAAAAATGACGAACAGAAATAAAAAGCTGATAGGAAAACTATATAGAATATAAGCTAACATGGCTTACCTTCAAAAACAATCCGATAAAAAATTGACAGAGTAAAATACTTCTGTGTTATACATACATTTGACTGACAGAAGTAAGTGCTTCTCTGCATAACTAATAGTTCTGAATCATATTCTACTGCCCGCCCACTAGAAATATGTACTTTCCGCCTTTCTGTTAAAGTCGGAACGGCCACAATTGATATGCGAATTAGTCACCTCTCTAAATATTTGATGGTGTCTACTGGTAGGAATTGGTTCGCGCTTTCTTCTCCCTTCAGGCAATAAGGGCCGGTTCAGATGAGCGGTTCGTGGCAGAAAATAGATTTATATGAAGTAGTTCACACAGGACGGTGAATTTTGCCACGTAGTAGCCGCGAAAATTTTCGTTTCGTGTGAACTGCTCTATATAAATCTGTATTGTGCTACAACGCGGCGGAAAATTGCCACGAACCACGTGTCTGAACTGGCTCTTATATGTAGAACCAAATGAAAGACCCGAAAGACATTTCCTCGATTAAACAGAAAATGATCGATGCATGAAGAATAGTGGCGTTACACGTAGCAACCTATTACCTTTCCTTAGAGAATACAATGACAGTGCATCGAAATGAACACTATGGGATGGAAGTTGAGAATGTGTGGTGGTTACTGAAGTGGGAATCAACCAGCCCCCCAGCACTCGTCTATCAACTCTGGCCATCCCGACTTTACCACATATTCGTTGTAAACCCCAAATTCACACGAGCTATACCTAAACTTACTCACGATACGCTTTGCATTCTGTTTAATATCTTATTATAATTTACAGAATTATACAGTAATCATTCCCATATTCCGCAGCTTTAACGAATTCTATATTTTAGGTTTCTATTATATTTATCATTTTTTCAAGACGTCTAAAATTGTTATGTTAGTGACAAAATCATCGCATAATTGATTCATTCAGTGTATACGGTCGATATTCGGTAAAAATGAGAAGATAAACGATTCAGGAATAAGAACAACATTTTTTTTCGAAGAATGATTATGAAAGTATTTTTAACGCTATAAGATTTTTGTGATGAGAATGAATTTAAACACAATTTTATTCTAACTATAATTTTCACTTGAAATAGTTTTGCTCTGGGTAACTCTAAATTATCAAACGGTCTGGATTAGTTCCCAGATAGCACGTGACGCCTTGAAGACGCACATTTTACGGCTATTTTAGGTCCAAGGCGCCTTTAAGCCGTCTTCAAGGCGTTATTCGGCGTCATGTGCTATCTAAGTAATGTGCTAAAAATATGAAAATATCTAGGTTTTTGAATAAAGATTTTCATATTTGAGAAATACTTGTAAGATTTCCATCGCTAGAACTCGAACAATAATCGAGGAGAGAGAAATCATTCTGTGCCCAAAAAACATTTGATACTTCCACATCAGACGTAATGACTCGCGAGCTGTGTGCACTATGGGAGTTATTACTTTACATTATTCGTATAAACGTTCGAATAAAAATTAACATTTTGTTAAATTATAAGGAATAGAATATATAATATGTATGTACATTATTTGAAATAAGGTTATGACATGTACATGAAACAATCTGGAAAGTTTACTCTTTGAAATATTCATCACTTTCTTATTTTAAAAAAATTACGTAGATGGTATTGCGATGATAATTTTAACCCCTTGCAGATGGATCACGCCGAATAAATTCATCATATTTTCGTTTCTAGGAGAAAGTAATTTTATTATTTTCAAAATAACAATATAATAATACCCATTTTTTCAATTTTTAGTATTGAAATCTACTTGTATTAATGTAATCTCGTTGCCCTTATTAATATTCCCTGCATTAAAAACACTTTGATCTGCAAAGGATTGAGATTATATTCTTATATTACGTACCATGTAATAGGGGATTCCAGTGTACCATACTTTTAATTCTTAATTGCCTAGAATAATATTTAAAAATGTTTAATTTTCATTATATTACGATAGAGCAAAGTATAAAATTAAAATGTTAATACGTTTACTACAAACATTGAAATAGTTTCCAATATAACAAATAAACAATGAGGATAATATGGAATATATATGTATTGTACATTAATATTGACATAAGCATAAAAGTTCAAGGCAATTAAGAATTAAAGCACATAATATTAAGGAACAAGTATTTACGTTACATATATTCTCTTTCTAAACAAGGCATCCAAAAATACAGCTTTATAATTTAAATATATAATTTAAAGGATATATTTATAAAGACATATCATGTAACATATGTAATAGAATATTTTAGTTATAAATAGTTTTATAATTTTTAGACATATTTTTTAATATAATATTATTATACGATGAATTTTAATGAATAAATGCAATATTATTATTACATCTATATGACATTTGTTGAATTGAAAGTTAAGAATTCTTTGTATTACACAGGATTGTATTTTTGATAGAATCATATTTCATGTTATGAAGAATACATTTATGTAATTTCAAGGTTAGTAGGGTTTTATAATATATAGGATGTATCGAAAAGGTTGAGTAAAAATTTGGGTATAAGTTCTATGTATCAAAACTAAAAAAAAGTTCATATAAATCTATGTCCTGAAATGCATCTGTATAAAGACACAATTTAGTTTACCTTCAGCACATTTTAATCAGCATCAGTTCTATGGGTTTGTTTATTTTCTTATTAACTCTGGCAAAAGACAAAGTACTTCAACGTGGTATTATGGAAACTAGTGAAAATATTCATAACTTTGAATTCAAACACCTATATACTTCGGATTCATCTTCTCTAGACGTCAATATTCGTTTCTGGACATATATTATGTTCATATGAACTTTTTCTTAAGTATTTTGAAACATAAAATTCATTCCCAAAGTTCTGCTCAACCCTTTTGATTCACCCTGTATTTTGTAATAATATAACGGGACTTTAGTATTTATAGAGATCTAATATTTTCATTTAAAATACTTAAAACAGCTAACAGAATCGACATGTGAGATACGAAGACTGATGCACTACCTGTGGAAAAGATGTATAGTAATTAAAATATTTACTATTTTTTAAACACTTGAACGGCCGGTCGCTAAACGTATCTATTGTCTCTTCTTTACGAGTATTAACACGTTAAGTGTCGTATCAGTCAGTGGTGACTTCTAAGAATGTAACTGATTCATTGTCCAACAAATTTAAACTTTTTTTCCGATCTGCAATATCCATTGGAAGATCCTTATAGAGCTCTTCGTCCAGATTACGAATCCAGAAGCAGAATTTCTCAATCTCCCTCAGTTTTAGAAAAACACGAGCTTTTGTAAAAACACCCGATTTTAATAAAAATGACGTATTACGTGAAAACTAAAAATGCCAGAATGTTTAATTTAATCTTGAAAAATAGAGGAGGGTTTCCTGCATATAGCAGTGTATTCAGTTATTAAATTGTGTAATTCTTAATGGTTGTAAATAGCCGTGAAAGTTTAAAAAAGTGCCGATGTGCGTATTTTCTATACACTATTTTTGCGTTTTCACAAACAGTTCTTTACCTAGATGGATACTAATTACGCAATTATAAACTTTTTGATTAATTTCGATTTGACAAAAATTCTGACTGTCGCTTGGTTATAAAGAACAAATATAATGTATAATATTAAAAATGTTTTCGTCTTGCTTGACGTTTGTATGCAGTATCTTTATTGTTGTTCATAAGTGTTCAGCAATAGTCTGTAAGTATTGCGCCCATATCGTTTCCTTGGTACCGTTTTTCCATTTTGGATATATCTTAGTGGAAACGTTTTCCATGCTCGTCAATTTTTAAGAAGACCACTGACAATTGGAATGTAATTTTTTGATTTATGGTTGCCGAGAAAATTTTCTGTGATTTTTTTAAATGACAGCAGTATGCTTTTTTTTAAATTATTCAACGTGTCGGTAAAACTTTGGTCTCTCATCAAATCCCTGATTTGGGGGCCAACAAATATGCCTTCTTTTATTTTCGCGTCAGATATGCCTGGAAATGTTGTTTTCAAATACGTAAATCCAGGCCCTGATTTATCCATCGATACACCGACACTTTCTGAATCTGACACCGTGTTGCTAATTCGTGCTAGGTAAAGAACTTTTCGTAAAAACACAAAAATAGTGCATACAAAATACGCACATCGGCTCTTTTTTAAATTTTCACGGCTATTTACAATCATTAAGAATTATACAATTTAATAACTGAATACACTGCTATATGCAGGAAACCCTCCTCTATTTTTCAAGATTAAATTAAACATTCTGGCATTTTTAGTTTTCACGTAATACGTCATTTTTATTAAAATCGGGTGTTTTTACAAAAGCTCGTGTTTTTCTAAAACTGAGGGAGATTGAGAAATTCTGCTTCAAAATGCGTAATCTGGAGTGTTATGAGTGGACTTTTCGCTTTGGTTGCGATGGCCACCAATATTTCATGCGGTCGCAGATGTAGAATCAGTATCAAATATAAAAATTACGTAATTTTTGCAAAATGAAACTAAGAGTCATGTTTCTAACACTCTTCCACCCCCAAGTCAATTTGCATTTTCTCCATAATACTTCTTGCAAAATTTTCTAACACTTGGTAACATCGCGTAGCATAAACAGGGAAATCATAAAAATCAGCTCGGCACTTAACGTGTTTATATCCGATCGACCGTATTTCTCGTATTTATATTTAAAGTATATTCATTCTTTTAAACGAATATAACATACCGTTACAAACTAAAGGACTCTCTTCGTAATATCCATCTTGACAGTAACAACGTTTCCCAGTGATAGTTGTATTATATTTTACGCAATGTGCACCATCAACGCATTCAGAATCTTCGTTGCACGGAGTTCGTAGTGCTGAAATTAAAATCGAAGTTAACTTTTCGATATTTTTAAATCAGCAACTTCTTCTGAAAGATGAATGCATGACATTTATTCTATCAGCTACTCGTAATTTGTATATTTATAATATTCAAGGAAATGCATGTTTAATATTTTAGATTAGTAGTATGCCTTTTACACTGTAGTTTAAACTTTTTACACTAGATTATATAAATCTAAAATCTAATCTGATCCGTAACGTAACAAGCAAGTACAATGCTGCAAAAGACCTGTATTATTCGGAATCTGTCACATCTTGTACACATGTACTGGATATACTTTTATAATGATGTTATACTAACAAGGCATATTATTCAATTGGTGACAAAATCGCACAGATTTTTACATCTAGCTCGAAAGTATATGTTACAAAGGATACCTATATAAACACAAATTAAAATTGTCTTGAAAGGTCAAATAAACGTCTGTGAGAAAATGCATTTACACTATTCATATGTATACAGTGCGTGATGTGGAAAGAGAAGGGCAAAGAGAAGAGGAAAGGAAGAACAAAAATAAGAAAAGGAGTAAAAAATCGTTTATTGAAAATCAATTACCTTCTTCTTTATTTATATTACATAACAATTAATGAAATTCATATGCGAAGATAATTATCCATTACACTTGTGATAATTTTGTGAATCAGATTATTATTATTATTTACTATTATACAATAAAGGTAATTTATTTTCAGTAAAATGTTTTTTCACTCCCTTTTCCTTATTTTTGCTTTTTCTTACTTCTTCTCTTCGCCCTTCTCTTTCCACGACGCTTGTTTGACCTTTCAAGTTCAAACCAGCTTTCAATAGCATTTTTAATATGTATTTTTGTATCCCTTGTGACATATACTTTCAAACTATATGTATGTAAAAATCTGTGCGATTTTGTTATCAATTGAATAGTGTTCCTTGTAAGCGGATTATATCTAGTTTGTTTCAATAACAATGATATTTTTGGCTGCGATTCTGAAACTGTCCACCTTTCGATTTTGATGGAATTTGGGAACATTGTCTCAAATACTCCCAAATGTACATATGTAAAAGGTTATGTATGTTGTACATTCGCGAGCAAACTCGGCTTCCGTTAGTGGAAAAAGTGACGTGGGGAAAGGGCCTTCTACCGTGCTCCTACCTCTTGGTATTAGGAATTATTAAAATTTATGCCAAATTAACATTCAATTTAACATTTATTTCAGTACCTGAAATAAATTTACCAAGTGTTAGGAGGCCCTTCTCTTACATACTCCTCGCGAGGATACTGTCATCGTAGTAAGTAGAAATTGAATACAATGAACAGACGCGGTAGCCAAGTCCTACAATTGCACGCGTATCCTGTAAATTTTCAAAATCGATTTTCTTCAGAACGAAGTGTCAAATTAAAAAATTTTATTGTACATTTTCGATTTATTTTTTCGCGTAGAATCACACCCTAATCGGTTGTACCATCAGTTAAATGACATTCTGTAAATATATTAATTTTCACTTGCGCAAAAAAACCTCTTACATTTGTTCATTTGGGAGTATTTGATACAATTTTAAAAAGTTTTATTAAAATCAAAAAGGTGGACCTTTTCGGAAACTAATTAACAGGTTTACACATCCCTTGAAGACCACTTAGAGCTACAATAATCTTTCATTGAAACTGTTAAACATTTAACTAACGACCTCATTGATTCAATTAATAGGATGCATATTATAATAAAGTAAATTTAAATGCTAACTATGTCGATTTTATTTTGGAATTATGTAGTAGTCCCTCGGATAAGAGTGAAACTGTAATAATCCAGGAATATGACACGTATAATGATCTCTGATAATCGAAGTATGTATCTACATTTTTTCCAATAGGTTTGTCTTTACAGTTCCTTGGTATCGTTTTTTTAAACTGAATCATGTACCTATAACTTTTCAAAATGAATGGTATGTACATTAAACGTTTGGAAACAATCTTTCTGAGTTCCCACTCAAAAGGGCTACACATTCCCATTACAAATGCAAGTAATTATAATCTGAATAGTTCGTTTGAAAATATGTACAATGATGTAAGAAGATGAAATTTGTAAATAATTTTTTAAATTAAGGTTTAAAGTATTAGAACATCAAATAATGACATCGATATTTTCAAATTTTCTTTTTTTGACGTTGTCATTACGAGCGGAAGTGTTATTTGATATAATAAATTGTTAATCTGAACAAGATAGAAATAAAGTATCATTTGTGAAAATATGGTATGACATCGGATAGTACAAAAGCGAAAATATTGCGTTGAAGAAAACAGGTAAAAATATTCAAATTTGATTAAGAAAAATTGAAGGTTTATCATGAAGGGAAAGGTTCTTGAGGTAAGTAAGTACATACTTCGTCATGAAACACGTTAACGTAATGCCATTCATCACTAAACTGCGGATCTTTATGTAAATTTTAATCCGTGAAGATTTATTTACGCAAACTAGAAAGACATGGAAATATCTTTGCTGCATCAAAGATTCAACGACGTTCCACATAAAATGAAAACTATATTAAACTTTATTGAACTTCTTATTATATTGAATTTCTGACTCTCTGGTACACTATAAATGCTTAATATCCGCAGTCATTTGTGTCGAAAAATTGGTCAACAGTTTATCAAAAGCATGTAAAGATATAATCACTAATGCAGAAGGTTGAATCCACTATTCAAAATAAGTAAGTACGCTGTTTATACTGATAATGTAGATATAAAAAGTAATAGCCACCAGTTTTCAGTTTAATGTGAAAATAATCACATGTCAATCAAGAGGACAAAACCAACATAACTTTCTCTTGTTAGAGTCGTCTTGGATCTATTATTATGCATTAAATTAAGTGTTTGTGTATGTTTCTTGTTGTTTTGCGTACTAAAAGTTGTCAATCTGTTGACAGTATATAGAATAAAATGAAATGAAATTAAATCATATTAAATTATATTAAAGTAAATCATATCAAACGGGATTATATTAGATTAAATCAAATCAAATTAAATTAGAATATAACTAAAATAATTTACTACAATATATTCGTGATAGTACAAAAAGAGAGAAACTACGTATTTTTCAAACAAGTAATTACAAGAATATACTCGATGAACCGATTTCAAATCTAGATATTTTTATAAGTATTGTTTGTATTCTGAATAGGATTCATAAAAAAATATACTTTAATAGTAGTACTTGCTGAAAACATTTTAATACTAAATTATTATTATAATACTCACATGTTTTATTTACTGAATGAGAAAGACAGGAATTGAGTTTTCTATTCTTTCGTACTAATTATACGTGAACCTTGTTACTTTAAATTGAAATAACCTTCCTTATTGTTATATATTTTAACGTATACTTTTTAAATGTAAAATGTACATACTGATTTACAGTGTTACTATTACTTCATTCAATTTTTCAGACAGAGTATGTATGTACCATAAAATCTATAGTATAATTGACTGTGGGAATGGGAAAAATACTGTCTAAAACGATAATAAACATATAATTTGAGATACTTTACTACTTAATCCGTAATTTGTCGCTAGCTAAATTGTGACGTGTTCGAAATATGTAAACTAATTTGATGAATATCTGCTATACGGATACCAGAACATACGTAGATAGCATATTACGAACTGAATACACTAATGGTAACTAAAAGCGTATAGCTCAGCAAACGTCAAATTGTCAGTTTTCCTAATAATGTAAGCAAAATGCTCATATAGCCACAAATGACGCCTAAAATATGGCTACAGTGATGATTTTCGTTTTTTGATATTAATGTATGTATACTAGTTGATTGACGATAACAAATCGAATATTCACATATAATCCTCAACATTTTGTTTAAAATGAATAAATCTCACTGACACAATAATTAATATAAAATTGGTATTTCAGTTTATGTCATATATGTAATATTTGGTACTTCCTAAGTGTAAATAAATTTATAGTATTTCCTACTGTGCTTTAAGTGTGCCTAATTTACGCAGAAGCTCAGTGCGTTTTAATTTTACGCTAACACGCAATTTCACGGAAATGTGCTCTCGGCATCACCTGTTAGCATCCAATCAATTTCCATGTTATGTCAGAGTGTGTAATTTTTCTTTAAATTATCTAAAATTTTTCTAAATTATCCAATGTTATTCAAGTTTTTATTGAAAGAAATTGTTTACGACAATATATTACTCACAAATAATTATTAAAATTTCAAATCGTTGTTGTAAGCTTTACATTATTTACTAAATTGTAAATCATTTACCACAAAACTGTAGTAACAATTTTCATTTGGCTGCTGGTTGACTTAAAATGAATCACTATTGTATTGATTTTCCAAGAGTCAGTTAAATACTGTTTGTTCTGCTTGCCGTAGAACTCTAAATGTAATTGTACTGTTTCCTTTGTAATCTTTAAATTATTGAAAAATAATTACATTACCAGAAAAGTTGAAATTAAAAAAAAATGTAGTAGAAAGAACATTGTTTAATGGATGTAAAGAACTTCGTATAGTTATAACAAATTGACATGTGCAGAACTATTTTTAGTAAGTATTATTGTAATACTAATCTTCAATTCGTTTTCTCAGCACACTCCATCAAATGTTGAATGTTCCTCCTCCTCCTCCTCCAAAAAAAAAAAAAAAAAAAAAAAAAAAACAAGGAAGGCAGTGTGACAGTATGTATGTGGTAGCCTGCAGCGATATTCTTAAAGCTTTCCAATTTGCATAGATAACCTTAGACCTAGTACCAACACCGTCATGTGTTCACATATTGCAAGAGGACACGTGAGTGTATGCAAATGACAGTAGTCGCTTGGGAGCCAAGGAATTCAATTTCTTTTTCAAAAGTTTACTTCCGTTCTCCTTTAAACTTTAAATGACCTTAATTTATCAAACTCTATTCCCTATGTTTAATTTGAATAATGTTAATAAATATTCAATGTCAATACAAATTTAACTATTGAAAAAGAAAAATATAGCACATTTGGGTAGGAAAAAATTCATTTCACGAGAGCACGTAATTTTGTTTTTTAAAGAATTTCATTGCAGTAACAATTTAAAAATCACGAAATGTCTATGAATACGTGAATTATTCAATTTAAGAAAATTGAATTACCTTTAAATTTGTTGGTACACGCGCCGTTAAGCGGTGCTGAATAATCACCACACAGACAACGTGTTCTTCCATCTCGTGGATCTGCTATACATGTTGTATTTTGTATACCGGCGCAATCAGACTCTAACTTACATTCACGAGCTTTTCCAACTGAAATTACAAATTTCCACAATTATTCTATATTCTTATATGTGCCTGTTTTTCTCAAATGTTACTTCTTGCAACAATGAAGTTGCAAAAATATAGCTACTTAAACGAATTCTACTTCTATACGATAACTCGTTCTCTAGATTTTACGGGTCACAGGTTCACAATAACAAAGTGCAAACATCCGGCATGTAAAATAGTACTGTCGCATACCTGGTCTTCGAAAACAATAGTTTCCTAGTGTATTAAAAGTTCTCATAGAATCAGACAACAGTAAAACATATTTGTGTTTATTTCGTTATTACTCGTTTACAAGTAAAATAGGCTCAGATATCGTTTTTACGATTGCGCAATATACAAACATAAAAATTTCATTAACATTGAAACGTTTATTGTGATTATTTGTTACAGCCAAAGTAAAAATTACAACAAACCTGGCGTAGGCGGCGGCGGAGGATTTTGATTTTGATTCTGAGGGTTGGTTTTACCAAAGGTCGTGAGAGCGTAAGCCGCCGACGGTGATACGAAAAACAACAGTAAAAAGAACGATACGAATATGTAGCAACTTCTTCCTTTCTTCATGTCTTTCGATTTTTTTTCGTGGGTGCTCCTTTCCGACGAATTACCACTCTGTCTATTCACTGAACACTAAATTATGAAATTGCAAAACTCCGCAAAGAACAATAGACACTAGGACCCTTTTTCACTTTCAACCCCGGCGATCCTCTACTGTAACGAATGGAAGGTTCACAGAGTCTATTCGAACTGTCTGACATCCACTAGTACCTTTTTAAATTACTGTTGCTTCTTGTTATTAGTAGCGGCAATCAAATGCGAAAAAAAAAGATATCGCGTGAAGCTTTTGTTACACTTTTAAGCAATTTACCTTTTAAACGGAATACTCCTACGTTCTACTCGGGAACTGCGTGTTACAAGGACGTTGGAAGGCCTTTTAAGCCTTAGAAGCATCCCCACCTCATACCCCATGTGCTGCCACCACCGACTACCCGGAGCAGAAAGCACCCTATACCAAAACGTAGTTCGCCTACCACGTCGCTGAAGAATCGGAGTATGCTTTGGTTCCTTCAAGTTTCGATCGTAGCCTGTGGTCAAGGAAAATATAGCAGTATTGTACTGAAATAAAGCATTGCCGGTTAATTTTATTTTCTCATTAAAAAAAAAACTGCAAACCATGTAGATTGATTACTTCATATTTAAAATTGAATAACAATTGAAGTTTCAACGTTGATTTAATAAAATCATAATTCTAATCAATGTATTACTGAAAAATACGTAAACTATGTGATAACTGTAGTTTCGTATTGTTTTACAAACGATCGATAAATTAACGTTTTAGCTGTCATATAGGTATATCACGTTTTTGACATATTATTTAGTAATACAGCGAAGAGATAAGAGGTTACAGACTGTAAAAGTATGAGGTTCTTGAGAACTTCTTATCTACTTAACATCGGCATATGACTGTTTTTTAAAAGGTAATAAATTTCTCAGGAGTTCGGTTGTAATTTTCACGTTCGCCTTCTCGAGAAATAATAAAAACTTTCGCTGTGCACGAAACGAAGGTTTTATCTTTGAAAATAAGCAACCTTAAAATTACACTTTCTGATTACTACCCTAGTACACCTATGGCAGAAAATTGGATAAGAATAACGTTCCCCGTTCGAAATTGTATTTGTTCTGTGTGGAAACTACGATGTACGCGTAGGTACACGGTTTCTTTAACTTTTGTTTCTTTGTCTTCAGAAATCAAGTGAAGGATTTTGAGTTTACGAGAATTATTTTCGGCAGGAATAAATTTTGTATTTATAAAAGTCTAATTACATCCTAGCAGTTCAGAATTTAGTTTATGTTACTAAAATTGCCTTCATTATGTCCGCATATGTATAAAATTAAATATTTATTTATTTTTCTTGTAGTATAAATACATGATATGTTCTCCAGAGGAAAAAAATTTCTGTTATATCTTTTCTTTTCTGAAATAAACTATAGCAAGTATGAATTTGTATAAACATTCACAGTCCCCTTATTAATATGTTAAGCAGATAATTAGTTAAAATATCACGAGAAGTGAGTTTATTACATAAACATTACTTATGCTTGACATCTAATACAATACAGTAATCCATTATTTTTCTTACAAGACAAACATTATTTGGGATTTAACGACTGTGGACATATTGCGCAAAATTTTAATAAATATAATGAGAAGTGACATATGTATATTTAGCACAGAAATAAAGTAGTAGAAAGATAAATTATTCGAATATAATATTTACGGAGGATGATTATACTAACGTATATTCAAAATCCTTAGTACAACAGGTCAAAAATCAACGTGGAAAAAAATCACCACCTTTATCACCGTTCCGAAGGAAGTTGTGCACGAAAACCCATGTTTCGTTTTACACGAGTCACGAAAGCTTAACGGTCATACAACTCTCCTATCCATTAGAAAATCAAGTTCATTTAAAACTGAGGTTGCCATCTAAGGTTATCTAATTACGAACAATTCATTCAACAAAGATTATACTCTCAAAAACCATTAAACAGATTTTAATATTCCTAAGACTAAATAATAATAATTCGAGAGCGGAACTTTATGCAAAATAACATTTTCTGAAGTGATTTGTAAAAACAGATGTAAGGATTGGATTTTCTTTCATTTCTTAATGATTTTGTTATGACAAGAATAAGACAGAAAATGTATTAGATCTGATGTTAAGTTTATCATTTATCATGTTTCACACAGTCGTATACGCTATAAATGTATTGTATAATCCATAGTCTAATAATAATAAACTTTAATGTTCATATATTTCAGTAATTTTAATCATAATAGAATTTGATTTACAATTGGTAATCAACGTGGAAAAATAAAAAAAATCGAATATGTTATATATTTGTAGAAAATGAACGATACTTATTTATTCATTTACAGTACCGAGCAAATGTTTTCGGGCAGACACCTTTCGCTGTAGTATTTGAAGTAGGGGTAACATTGGTGTTACACTATGTAATAAGGAAACATACCAATGTGACAGTCACTGATATTTTTTGTTAGCTGCCATCATCTATGTTGATCTATGTCACCAGATCATCCACGTTTATTAAAAACTAACAGTTTTTGTTAATTTTTCAAGTCAAATGTTATTCCATTTTCTTGTACATTTATATGCGGAAACTATATTGAATTTTATATTTATACATTGCTAAAAGGTTCTTATATTTGAAGTTTTCTCGCATTTTGTGCAAAACGAAGTATTTGAATACGTACTGTAATCCAATAGGTAGTAGTTACTTTTACGATTTTTGAGACGCCTTTCTTGTTGATCCTCAAATGATTAAAATTGACACTGCAGGTATAAAAATTACCTATGTTGCATACATAGAAAAAAGCGAATTTAGATTTTCCACATTGGATGTGCAACGCGGATGATTCATCCACACTGAAAGGAGTAAAAATTGTTTTCATCTGCATTCAACATCCAAAGTGACAAGTAGACAAAGTAAAGCCAGTCCTTACTCTTGATGAATTGAATGCATTGTGGACGAATCATCCATGAAGCATATCCAAAGTGTAAAAGTGTAAATTCACTTTAAGGGTACTCTCCGGTCAACATTTTTAGAAAAATCGATTTTTTATTGCGTATTTTCATCGTATAACGTCTTAAGAATGTTATGTCAAAGTTTCAGTCAAAACTTCGCAGAAGTATAGATTCTGCAAGCATGTAAATGACCCTAACGTGTCGACCACATATAGCACTCTAAAGATTAGATCTAGAAGTACAAGAAATCGTAAACTCAGTACATGAAAACTTGACTTCTGATGAACTTTTAATACGTTGTACAGAAAGAAGTGGGAGACACGAGTCGACGACGATGACGAAGAGAGAGACACGTCTCCCAGAAGTCAAAAAGTGGGAGAGTGTTACCCGAAAAAGACGATAAAAAAAGACGTACGCAGAAAACATTCGAAGGCGAATGTCAGTACACGATGGCATAGTGTGCGATTGGGACCTTTATCCAACGCTCCTACATGTATAAATTGTACATAATAAATTGTAAAGGTAACTTTGCTGATAAAACACTTGTTTATCTGTTTAATATGCATGTACAATTTATACACATATATACTCCATCAAATATTTGTAAAGGCTTTTATGGAAGTGCAGTATAACCAACTGTCTTCTTATTATTGGTTTATTGTAGATACTCAACAATTGGCCCTGCAGAAAGAAACCTTCAGGTGGGCCTTCGTGGTATAGTGACGTGGGCCCTACGTTGGGTGTGATTGTTGGCCCAGTTGCAAAAAAGGGTGACAATTCTAACTGTTGACCAATCAATAGTGCAACAAAGGCAGATCAAAATGCCAACACTAATTGCTACTAGGGTAACGGTTGGTGTTGATCCTCTGGTTAGGCTCCAGGAGTTCCGACAAGAACATTCCCTGCGAGTCCCAAAAGACCGGCAGCATTAACTTCTAATCACGTGAATCGGGCTTTGGCTGAGCTGGCGGGACTTCGCCGCGAGAAAGCTAAAAGGCGTGGTGTGTATTTTCGTAACGTACCCAGCTTTGATCTCTAGTAATAATTTCCTTAAGAAAATCCTGCCGGTGCTGGCGGAGCAACAAACTTTGACAAATGCTGACACGAGCGGCTCGGTCATGATCGGTTATTCCTTGGTGATAGCCTATCAAATTAAAGTGGCGATCGATGTTTGTACGGGGTTGTCGAAGAGCATTCTCCAAATCTCGCGTGCTAGAATCCCGGTGCAGCTCGGAGTCGGCTGCGTAAAACGAAGGTAGTTGGTCTGCCAGAGTTGGGTTGGTTTTCACACCTTATTTCGCCCTCATCGAAATCACCTCACAAATCTCCCATTTCCGGGTCCTCCAACATTTTTGTTGCACCCTGTATATCTCCATGTCTCTGCTTCTGATCTAATGTTCCTTATTTCTGTTTCTTCCTCTCCTTCATATCTTTCTCATGCCTCAATATTTTTCTCAACTCTGGTTTTCTCTCTGTCCACTCCCTGTTATACCATGCCGTCTTTTCCAGTTTCCAGTTATAGTTAAAGTATTGGATATTTCAATACAGTAACAGTTGTATTATATTTAAAGGCAAGTTTACATGAAAAATTTAAAAATTTAATTTTCTATTCTATAGCTCAAGTTATTTTGTGTGGAACCATCGCTTGCAGCATGGAATTCTTTTATGTTACCATAACGTACATGCTCCAATAAACACGGGCAATGAAAAATAATATCAAGGACGTCATGATTATCTAAAAGAAGATTATTAGTTTAGTATTTACATAATGGAACCAAATTTTCGTGATTTTTTTGGCGATTTAAAAAAAAGGGGCTAAGAGTGTAAAACGGTCGGCAGTATGTATATTCATATACATATGAAGCTGCGTTCTAAAGATTATTTTGTTTAAATAGCAGGAATATTATTAATATATAGATATATGTAATATTAGAAAAAATTATGTACTACGTTATTTTCACCATCGCATGGCTGAAATTCGCTAAAGTGTGTCTTCTTGCACGCTAGGCTTGTTGAGCTATCTTCAAACATCAATTTACTGGAAACTGTCGACATATCACGCAGATTTCGTAACAGCCGGCTCTGTCTCGTGCTTCCGTAGGAAAAGGAAATTATCGGGGGTTGATCATGAATATTCATACGACATATGTCTCACGCACGCTTCTCTTTCATGTATTGTTCGAATACGATTACGCCAAAGTGAATACATAAGTCAATTGATTTCCGTATAACTTATGTATTCTAATCGAAACATCACAATGTAATCTCACCTGTCTTTCAGAATTAACGACGTAAGGTCAAACGTTAACTACACAGTCAATTCAATCTCGAGTCTATAACTACAACTAAGGATGAAAGTAGCGGTGAAGAAAAGGAAACTGTAAAGAATGAATGATTTCAAGTATGTGATTTTTATCCATACATGTATCAATGTATTCTAAAACAATAACATAAATTGAAAGTAATCTCTACAATCTACAACAGAATGAATAATGGATACGTTCCTGGAGAATAACCACACACATACGAGCCATTCTTTCTTTAAAGTGGTAGTAGTCCACTTTCATTTATTTCGAGATATTTAATGTTTTTTGCATTTTACAATTACATTTACAATTATATTTTACAATTTATATATAAAAAACAATGCATGAGAGAAAGAAAACCGACTACGCGTCGCGATGTCAGTACGGCGACCATCACGCGAAGAGGTCCCTCACGCTCTTGTTATCTCCAAAGAACAACACACAATAAATAAAGTATTGCATTCCGCCATTCATGTCTAACATCAGAAGAATTAGAAGAATTAAACGAATCAAATTCAGACTAGTTTCATGTCAGTACATATTGTATCTTATAATATCATCCTATTTTATAATTATACATATAAATACAATGCAAAAAATGCTATATTGTTCACAGTACAGTGTAGTGTGGGTTCGAAGAACCGCACCTTTGGGATCATTTTATACCTACTGATAGTAAATACGACGAACATTAAAAAGCATTTCAGTTATTACATTTTATTTAAATAAAAACAACTTTGACGCGTTATTTTTCTTTCATACTGACGGAGCATTGTTGTAACTAAAACAAGAAAACAATAACATATCATATCGGTAAAATGATTCCTGGAATCATTTTATCCTACTAGAGAGGGATCGTATGACTCCAAACACCCAATTCACATTCAGTGGTTGAATATAACATCAACTTATTACATGCGGTAACAAAACATTAATTAACTTATTATTGAATTGTGGTTAAATCCGCGCAAGAAGCAGCTGTCACATTAAACTATTTATGACAAAAGTTACACAGCATTGAAAAAGACCTTATCTTAGATAAATTGCAGTAATTTAACATTTTTCTTGTGGACAACACACGGAGCACAGATATTCACATGGCACTTCGAGCAACGACTAGTAACGTGCGGGGAGAACTATTGTAGAACGTCATTACGATATAGCACTTCTAATAGCCACAGGGCAGCCAGGAATCATTTTACCCCGAGGGATCGTTTTAGACACCTTTTCCCTACATACAGTGCAATGGTCCCCTTCCCACAGGTATAATGTTTCATTTTTTCCATGCAAACCAGAGCATTGACACCGAAAACCACAAATAAAAACCCTGTTTGTGAAGTTTGCTTAGAAAGCAATGATAAAGACTGGATTTAATGTTCAAGCTACCAAGAATGGGCTCACGAAGCTTGTGCCGATATTTTTTAGTGTTCTGAAGATTATATTAAATATATACTAATATCAATCTATCACAAATTTTGTGATCGTTGGAAATAATTTCATAGCTCTCCTGCATTAAGTTACTTATTTTTGTTATATCCGGTACTAGGTGTCATTCAATATTCCTTTAAAACCATATACCAAAGTTTAATGTTAATTTAATTTGAATATTTGATAATGTTGGTTATTTTATTCGTTTAATTTCATTTTTATTGTTGTTAACTTGTAATTAATGCACAATAAAAACAAAATGAAATATTAACTTTTTATTTATGTAAGAAAAGTCTTAAGTGTCCGCCACTAGGGGAACCCCCTTTATACAGAACGAGTCTTGTAACACGACGATTTATAAGTAACTCGTAAATAATTTGCTGTACCGAAAATGTCTTAAAAATATTAAACAAAAGTTACATATTTGTAACGATAGGCATGATTTTGCTTCAAAAGTACTTAACGTTAAGGTGTTAATAATTGGCTTATAAGCAAGATTTTTTGCTCAAACATACAAGCAGTTGTAAACAGTGCTCTTAGATACTGAAAAAAAGTTATTTATGAAAGAGATAAAACAATATTCTAAAACTACAGAACTATGTATATAACCAGAGAAATCTTGACTTTAATTACACTATAAACCTTAAAGCAGTTTTTCCCAACTTTTAAGTTGGTTGTCCATATATCCTAGAAATTACTTTCTGAATTGTTTGGTATTTTTCCACTTACAATAATTTATAAATGCTTCTTGGGGGCGAGGAAGAAAGTAAAAAAGTTGCGAAATTTCGAAAACTTCTGTACTTAATCCTAAATTACATAACAGACATAGAAAATAACGATTATTTGTGTTGTTCTCTGATTTCTATAAAATTGATTGTTATGTCGTAATTTATATACTTAGATTACAAAATATTTTGAATTTAAATTGTACGGAATTATTGTAAGTGTGACAACGACATTACACTAAGGAAAATTCAAAAGGTATTTCAATTTAGAGGCTGAAAGCGCTAAAGATATCTAAAAATGAAATTCTTCGTATTTTTTCTTTGTGGCATTTAATGGACATTTACGGACGTTATAAAATCGTAATAAAGTTGAGAACATTGTAAATCCTATAGAAATTCTCACTAACTTTAACTTAATTCAACAATGCTTTGAAATTCATTTAATCCAAGTAAGAATTCATGTTGCTGGGGTATCACATATCGTGTTTGAACCGACGTAAGCAGAATATGTTAACCTTTGGAACATACAAAAATAGCAGAAGTTTTTTAGTGTTATATTGCCATACATGGATGAAAAAAGTATTATAAAAGAACAATTAACTGAAACTTACACCGGCTCAAAATGTGTATCTTATAAATTCCACCGTTTTAACACAATTTCAAAATTACTCGATACTTTTATTATATGTTTATTATACAAATGATACATATAAATATAAATACAAAAATAGATATAGACTATAGTTAAATTGAAGGATTATACTAAGCATATCATTGAACAACCAGCCGGGCTTCACAGAGTCGATCTGACGCAAAGTGCGAGGACCGTACTCACTCCTCTAGGTAAAGGTAATCAATTTATAGCACATCATAAAAACTTGTAAGGGTTATGTGCGTTATTTGATAAGAATCTCTTTCAAAACATGGTAAGACTGACCTACTTCACCACTTCGTAATCGCCGACCAACCAATTGTAATTGCCTATTAGCCGACGCGACGTATGGAAACGTTATCAGACTAACTCTGGTGTAAATCGTTACATATTAGCATAAATAAGTTCAAGGTCCATGCGCAGCTTCGCAAATGATGCATTAATTATTCTGTGATATGATTTTGTCAACCAATGGTAAACCTTGCAAGTAATATTTTTAATGAAAGATACGTAATACGGAGAATAAACGGAGAGACGTACAGTTAGGTAAATAATTATAAAATTTCGAATAAAACATTCCTTCCTGGTTCGGCTATTTTGCAATCAATTGTGTATAAATGTTAAGTGAGTTCCAAATTTTATAACGCGTACAAAGCACCGTATTTACCATTTGGTTGTTTACGAATTGCATGTATCTAAAAATATCTTTATACATACCATTATTATAAAATGTATGTAATATACGTCATCTATTTGCATAATAAAAAAAATAAATAGTGAGTTCCTTATTTTTCAAGATTTATCGGCGATGACTCTTTAGAACTATATCATACTTGAGTTTGTCTAGAGAATAGTCATGTAACTTTTCAATTTCAGTAACTCACACTGTTCCTTTTTCAAAACGTTTTGCATTAAATACTTAACAAGACCATCACTTTGACTTCTTCGAATGTCGTACGGTTTCACTCCAACTTATTCTATAACGAAAACGCAAATTCAACAAAGGTCTTGTTCTCCATGAGAGTGCCGAATAACTTTCCTGAAATATTAAATATTCATAATTAATATACTTAAAACAAATAAGAGATTGCAAATCAGAAATTATAATATATTCCAAAGCAATATATTAATATCAATTATTGTATTATTCACATAACAAGTAGTTATTAACTCTGGCGTGTCTGTAAAAGTAAATTCCATTAATATTTATATGTGCAGGCAACAATCGCAAAAATAGATAACCATCTAACACGTGTTTGAATTTACTTAATAACGTAATGTATAGTAAGTGTTTTATTATTTAAAGTTAGACTATCTACTGAATGTATAAATTGAAAGTATGTAAAATAGTTTTGTCATAATAATTGCATCAGACTTAATAACTGCACTAAAACTATATACATAAATATGTAACTGCATTTATCTTTATTACCTTGGCAATACGTTCTATTCCGTAATTTGTTCGTCATGATATGCATCATTTTGTCCTTTAAACTGCAGATTTGAATCATCTTTGATTTCTTTCTCTGTATCGAACATCTGCTCGTTAGATTCATTTACCGTTTTCATTTCTTTTTGTTCAACGGTATATTCTGATGGAAAATCATTCTTTGCAGAATTATCGCTAGGTATTATATTTTCGGTATAATATTTTTGTACTATGCAAACGAACAGTTTGTAAGCACCACGGTTCGTATTTTCCTATAGCAATACAGATCCCATTTGTATTAAAAATTGTCGAAAAGCGTCTCACTATAAGGGTATTGTGATACTTACGTCGGGGATTGATGGTTCTTCGAATACATTCTTGAATTCCGTTTCACGAACAGTATCTGTAACCTTGACCTCCATGGATTGCATGTGATACGTCTGCCATATTAAATAACAAGACCATCCAATGAAGAGCAGTAATGTTATGTATAAAACTAATTTCGTGTATAGTATTGCTTTTTTATAATTATTACTCGTTTTCACAAGTTGTACGTAGAAGTGTTTTACGCATAAGTATTCTTCAGAGTTCGGCAACCCTTCTTCTAATTTAACAAGCTTATCTGTGTGAATAAAAAGACACAAAGTTTTGTCTGAGAGTGTATCGATAGTGCACATAAATGAAATCATAGAGAATACATGGATTAGAAAAAAATTATAAGTTCATTATTATAATTCGATTAGTTTCATGTAAACAGAATTAGTGAAAATAATATCAAAACCTTTATTTTATAAAATTCTTTTGTAAACGGATTTAGAAAATAATAATTATTATACCATCATGTTTTGCTGAAATTGTGCATGTTTTAAAAAGATGATTTAGTAGTTGAAGCTTGTAATAGAACAGGAAGCTGTAATTATGAGAATCTAATGAAAACAATGGAATCATAAGCAGTAAAGAGATACAAAACTTGTTGAATTTTTGCGCAACGTAATATACAAGTTAAATTTATTGGAGAACTAATGAAAGTATTACTATTCTTTTTCAAATATTATTGCTGTATGTAAAGGATTAAAAATCACATTGCAACATAGCATAAACATTAGCACTTTGTAAATTATACATATAAAAAAGAATTATTCTGTACCAGGTATAGAGACAATTTTCCGTTCCTTGTACGCATATTGAACTTCCTTTAGCAACACCATTGCATTTACTATACATATGTATAATATCTATGTAAATTCAATATTGAAAACCGTATTAATAAAGTTCAAACAGAGTATCTTTACAACACTGATCTTTTACATTATTATTTTTTAAATTTATAGTATTTCTTTCCTGTTTAAATCATTACAAATTACTAGGACTTTCATCATTTGTTTATTAACACGAGAACCAGATCACCGATATTTACGTGTATTAAAGACAAAATTTTGGTAGATATTACATCAATGATACGATTTTATGTAAATACAAATAAAATTACGACTATCTAAAGTCTGATTAAGTTAGCCAACGTCGCGTAAGTTCAAACTTAAAATTAGACGATCAAGAAATATCACAAACGTAATATAGAGTTATCGACTCTCTCTATAAATTAATAAAATAAATTCTATAGCGTTATCAATATACACTAAAGAATAATCTGATTAGAGCATAATACTCGTGTAATCACATGTGTCGCATTAAAGAAAAAGTGTAAACTCACCCTTTCTGACGATACACTGTTCCTGCATGTTGAACGATCAGCTATAAACTAGCTGTTGAGGAAGAAAGATCATTAAATGTTAAACGCAGAAGTATAAATTAACCTCGACCTGGCAAAGTTTACCGTAAAGAGGGGAAAGGTCGCTTCTACGATAAAAGTTCCTGTCCTGTCACAAGCTTCACGCTACAGATAGATATTCGCAGCTCGGATTATACATTTTACGGGTCAGGCACGATTACTTTATGCTTCTTAATAACAAAGAACCGGCCGTTCCTGTCAATTTTTATCTATATCTTAAACTTTGCATTCATTATACTAGCCATAAAACAAAAGAGAAAGGAAATAAACTTAGAACCGAAATAATTATGCACGAAGTCTGTATTTACAAATTAATCAGATACTAATTAGGTCCTAACTATGCATATTTTGTATACATACTATACATACGTTTATTGTACTTTGCAATTGTATAAATTAAATCTTTTTTATATATGAAACTAGTTTTTTCTACAAATAAGCTTGTACACAATATCAATGAAAAGGACAAATTTTATTCTATTTGAAATTTACTACACCCGTAGTAACCACTCGAATTGTATTATTTCTGTATATAAAAGTATGTCCATTGTATATAAATACATATTACATTGTCCACTACAAGGCGTCTCGTCATAGACGCTTCATAGACGTTTGACGCTTGCGGGACGCTTCCATGTAACGACCAATGTAAAACAATGGACGTGTGTCCACATACGCTTCAGCGTCGCGTTTTCGTCGACGATGTCTGCCGCTGGGCGTATAGAAGGACGCAAAATTTTCATTTGTCTTTGAGTGTGAAATGTATTGGCCGTGAAATTCGTACAGGTTGTTGAAAATTTACCTATGAAATATAAAAAAATAGAAAAAATAGCCATGTCTGTACATGGCTAATACAACATCGCATTTTAGTGCCTTGTTTCTTGATTGGCGGAACTACCAAACACACTAAATTCTTGCACGTATTTTTATTCATTCTACAGAAAAAATAAAATACATGATCATTTATGTTCTTTTCTATGTAAGGATGTGACCAATATCATTTCCGACTTTTACGCCGTCGAATATAATTACAATATAAGCCGATAAGGTCCTCTTCGTCGCCCGACATCTTTGCGAATGAGGAAAATGAAGCTTTCTGTACGTTTCCTATACGCTTCCAATACGCTCAAGTGGACAGAAACTCAAGCGTAGCGTAATCGTCATGTTGCGCGCTACGCTGACGTGTGTATGACGAGACGCCTTAGTGGACAGTAGGCCTAAGTCAATGGTCTCGACAAAATTCTCAAGTCAGATAATTTGATATTTCAATTGATAGCGATGCAGGTGTTCATTTTCTATCAGATACGGCTCTTTTGATAAAAGTAATGGATGAATGTCACATCACAAGTCGTTCTGTTTCGGTTTAAAACAGTTGAGGTAAACATGAGACCTGTTCAGAGTACCGTATTTTGTGTGTTACTTGTCCTGCAGTATTCATTGCATGAAGGTAAGTACCCAAATTATTCTACGCTATGTTTCATTAAAAAATTATGGACTTTCTTATCATTTTGATATGGTACGTGCTCATTACAATGTCCACTCGGAATAATTACATCGATTCACAAGGAAGGTTTCCCAACCCGGAGATGCCGATTTCAATGAAACTTTGTACGTTTGTTAAGCAAGTAAAAATAAGGGACACGTAGGTTTTTTTTCGGCTAACATTCACGTTAAGGGGGTGAAACCACCCCTCAAAGTTCCGACCCAGAAATAGTATCTCGAAAACCAGAGGAGATACATGAAAACTTCTAATGGATGAGTTTTATGGTTTCTCATGTACAATAATATGGTGCTAAAATATTGTCCAGAATATAATTTGTTTATAACAAACAAATTTTTTATAACTTTATTTTATAACTTATTCAAATTTACATAATAACAAAAAATGACGAGCATTTCGTTCGAAATCCATTGGTATATATATTTATGAAATTGCCTCCTAGAGTTTCGCAAATTTTTATTATTATATGTATATCCCGTGAGCACGCCCGCTGACAAGGAAGGTTCCCCGATCCTTTTCTCAGAACGATTATTTCTTTAAATATATATATATATATATATATTTCTTTTGCAGTTCGATAGGTTTTTTAATATCATTCACTTTTCTCATTAAAAGTTTTTTCCTATTTCTTACGGTTAACAAGATATACTGAAAAAAACGAAAAATTCGGCAAACTTTAAGGGGTGATTTCACCCCTGTAGAGTGAATGTCAGCCGAAAAAAATCGTTCCTTGCGTAACTGGATGCCTTCTACAATCCCACAAAGTTTCGAAGGAGAAATTGTGGTATCTACTATTGACGTTATTGTATTGATCAGAAATTAAACAATTAGAATGATATTTAAATTTATACAAATGCAGGTATCACTTTGCTAAATGACATGTAAAATTAAGTACATGAAAATAATGTATTACGTAGTATGAAAGAAACAATAGAAGTTAATCTAACATCGGTACGTCCATCAAGTAAAATAAATAAAGTTTTACAAGACTATCTACATGTAACTATATTGTATAAGAAATTATGAATCGAAATATCATTATTCGATTACCTGAAACATTCCATTATTAAAACATTGTGTTGATTGATGAGTTTGTATAATCGAGATTCTACAGTATCTTTGGTCAAATCTCGTTATGATGAATCACATGATATCTCTTCTAATCCGTCAAACACGTGAGATGGATTTAAGAAATGAACTTAAAGTTCATGTTGTTACATTTATGCTATCGGACGAATAAGATACGTAGTATTATAAATGTAGTTTAAAATCTTTCGTATAACGTGATATTTTGTATAAAATCCACATAAAAGGCTTTACTGATATGGCGATGAAAATTTCATAAAAATGTAATGAAAAATAAGTAAATTTTTATAACGCATTAGTAATTTACACACGCTGTTTGCGGATCCATCTCTTGTAGTGGAAAGTAGGATAAATCTGGTTACGTAATGTATTTTTCCTGCTAATGAAAAATCAGATGATAAAGAAACTTTGGACGCCGTTAGAAAACTTGATTGAACATTATAGAATAAAAAAATGAGGGCCCTTCTTTGAAAAATTTATGTCGCTCATGGGGAAACAAGATTTTTCGAAGGTATCCAAGTACCCGAGTTTACCCCATAGATCAGGCTAAAACCGGGTTTCTATTAAAAGACCCGTAAAATAACATAATTGTAAACCTTTTATTTCTATAATGTTTCAAAACTAGTAAAAATAGTTATCTAAAATGATTTTAACAAATATTAACTTATTTTAATTTGTGCTAACTTATTTTAATTTATGCTGACTTATTTTAACTTATTTTAATTACTTAAAAACTGTTTCATAAACTTATTTTAGCTTCTTTTAACTCACACATAAATTTATTATAATTTATTTAATAAACGAAAATTGCAAATGAAGGGTTTATTGCCCTCCTTGACATTTGTGTAAGTCTCGTGGGTCCACCTATGACACATAATACATTGAATTTATTCTTCCTGGGATTTAGAATGAGTGAAGAATTCATCGCAAAATATGTAAGCCTCTACAGATACCAGCATTTTAAAGTATTCTTTTACTTTACTTTCACACTCATGGACTTACCTATCCAAATTATAGATGGAAATAGGGGCACGTGGATTTTTTAATAGGAATCTGTTCCTACGTGAAAAATAATTTGATCAGTATAAAATAATGTTATATTAATTATATCTTCTTTAATTTATTTATTATTTAACACTATATGTAAATTGAACCTATTGTCGTGTTCAATTGTAAAATATATTATGAATTACTTTAACAGTATGTACACATTAGTTCGTTATTCAAACCTTTTATAGAAAATAACAATTTAAGTTAAACGATCGTAAACATGTTTTTTCTTAGTTTCTGAAAATATTGTCACTACAAGTATTGTTCTTAATAACTCGTAGTGTATTTGTAATTTATATGTGTATATGTATATAATTTAAATTGTTGTTATTGTCTATAAAAGATTTGAATAACGAACTAATGTGTATATTGTTACAGTAATTCACAATATATTTTACAATTGAACACGACAATAGTTTCAATTTACATACAGTGCTAAATAATAAATGAATTAAACAAGATATAATTAATATTACATTACAAAAGCGGCCGTTCCATAGTGTCAAATTATTTGCTTGTATTATGGTTTACCGAACACACCATATTACTATAAACATCACGAATAAAAAAAATAAAAAATTTACTCTTAAAGATAGCAAAAAATAATAAGTACTAAAAAACATTTATGTTATACCTACGTAGTTAGTATGGGGTAGAACCGATAACCCGATTATGCCCCGTAATCAAGTAACCGATTTTGCCCCACATGAGGTAATTTACTGAACATTAAATATTTATACTTCAGCATGAGATAAAAAATTGGGTAAAACGTTAGAATACTGCGCAAAGACTCTACAATATAACTCGGTACTTACCGTAATAGATTCTTCAAATCCAAGTGGAATAAAAAAGCCACATTGCTTTCATAAATTCACTAGCACAACATTGAAATTTTTCAACTCGAAATTTTTAAACTCCTCGGGATGAAAAACTACGACGTTCTTTGCTCTGCGATTGATTCCCTATTATCGTAAAGCCTACACGAATGTCACACCATACTTTGGCTGCATCTCGCACCTCTTATTCTATAAAAACAATGACACCCGGTATGACCCGCGTGCCGGGTTGCATCCTACTTTCCCCTACTTCGTTTCGTTCATTTTTAATGCCTCTCTTTTCCTCTTCTATTCGGATCTACTCACATACGACTTCGCTCTGGATATTTTGAACTGACCTAGACAGGATTTTTAGAGAATTTCGAGAAAATGTATATACTAAGTGTGACACCTGCAACACCAGACGCACTATAGACTTATTCTTTACTGAAATAGATTTTCATTACGTACACAACACTTTGATATCGACCCATCAACCACGAAGGATAGTTTGAAAAATCTGAAAAGATTACTACAGTTATTAGCTTTTCGAAATGAAGCAAAGCTTTGTTAAAAATTATAGTATCGCAATTGCAAAATGCAATCGTAGACGATAATAACCATGCTGTTAGAGGTTGATGCGACTATGAAGAATAAATAAGAAAATGGCATCACCTATCGAAGATTTTTTATTATTTGTAGGATCTGTGATTGGCATTCAAACCCCAGAAAACAATGTTGCCGTCAAGGAAAAACTTAATAACAAATGGAAATGCGAGTCGAATGCAGATTGTACTGCAGAAAGTAGTGTCTGCTCCAATTCCACGTGTCAATGTACTGCTGGTTACATTTTCAATAGGTTTATGACGGCATGTATTAAAGGTAGATCACGAAAATTATACATTTGTAATATTGTAATTGATTATACTGTTCAACAAGTCCGTTGAATTCTTCATTTGAATTAAATTGATCACACACATCAATTATTTCATGACTATCATATCTCCTGTTTTTATAGCAAAAATTTAATAGTTAAAAATGTTACTTATTGCATTTAAAAGTAGGAACTACTTGTTTCTTGCAGCTCCAAATGTATAATTAAATTTAAGAAAATCCTTACGTACAGGGTCAAAAGTGAGATTACATTGAATTCAGAAATTTAACATCAAGTCAATAATACCAGTTTCGTTCCATTATTTTAGAATTTTCGAAGTTTTGTTGACCAGTGTTACTGAACGAAAAGTACAATAAATGATTTGAATAATTTTAACGGAGTGGCTTAAGGTTACTCTAGAAATTAACGTAATTAAATTTATTCCTACAATACTTACAGTTGCGACTGCATACGGTGACAACTGCGTCGAATCGATACAATGTTCCAGGTATTTATTCAATGGCGGAGGTTGCGTAAATAATGCTTGTGCATGCGTTGACGGATACTATTATGTGCATGGAAGATGTAATGCATATAGAGGTACTTTGCATGTTTTATTGTGTTATCACATATGCAGTGGGTAAAAAAAGTATTCGCACACCCTTTAAAACAGAACAACTTTTTCAAAATTGAACCAAATTACTCGAGGTTCCTTGTGAAGCCAGAAAGATTAGTTTACTGAATGATGTGTCGAAAAATGTTGAAAAAGTTGCAATTGGTCGGAATCGCGAAGAAAATAGTAAAGTCGCCTTTTACAATTTTTTTATCTGAAACTGTAATAACAATTTAAAAAATACATTCAGAAGATTTATGTTAAAATGTTAAAAATCGCAGTGTTTCGCGACTTTTGACCTACAATTACTGAACACGTGAAAAACTGCGAATTTCAACATTTTTAACCGTTTGTATTTCATAGCAACGTCGACCGGTATCGATAAAATTTTTAGCATGCATATAACTAACATAAATCTTTTAAATATATTTTTTAAATTTTCATTATAGTCTCAGATAAAGAAGTTATCTATTACGAAGAAGTTTACTATTTTCGTCTTGATCCCGAGCAATTGCAACTCTTTCAAAATTTTGTTGACATATTATTTAGTTAACTAATCTTTCTGACTTCACAAAGAAACTCAAGTCACTTGGTCCAATTTTAAAAAATTTGTTCGGCTTTAAAAGGTATGCGAATACTTTTTTTATCCACTGTATGTTAAAATTTTCAATACTCAAACTAAATTAGCATATTTTCACAGGATTGGCTGAGAAATGTCGTTACGACTATGATTGTTATGTACACACCGAATATGGGGCAGTATTCTGTGACAATGGAATTTGCCAGTGCAGTCCTGGCTATTATCAACGCGAATATAGAACGTGTCGTCCAGAGGGGAAAAGTAAGGATTTTTTTTATGATATGTATTGATTTCCTTTATTTGTATTATGTGATTTTTCTTCATAATTTAACAATGGAATACAGTTTTAGTCGGTTTGTCTGTTCACTATTATATAATACTAGGTAAAATCGATGGTAATGATATAGTGAAGATAAAGATTGTTACTACGGCATGTATTATTATTATTTCAGTTATTTTAATCATTTACATAGAAAACACTAAATGCAGTACCTTTTCTGCACGCAACGCAAGTGTGTTCAGTTTATTATTTTCTAAACTTGACACGAAGAAGATTGGGCGGATATTGTTGATTTTGTATCGTCTTCATTGTTAACTATTTGTTCTATTAAACAATTTTGCATAGATAAAAACAGATGATAATGCAACAGTCAGAAATTCAGAGAAGACGAAAGGTAAATTAAAGTGTTCTAAGTTTTTGACTTTTTTCCAATCTAATTCTTACCTTATAACGGTTCCAATTGTCTTGCAGTAATCAAATACTACTACGTCTATTAGTATTTGATTTTTAGCTTTTTCTTTAATTTTTATTACATCACTTTAAGTTGCGTGTATTTTTTTGTCAACATGATATCATGCAGCCAATACGTTACACGTTGTCATTTAATCTCTATCCATAACGTTTCATAAAATGTGATATTCATATTTTCCGCGACTCGTATATCATTTCGTGTTTTTTTCTTTAATCACTTCTGTCTTGTAAATTCACCTACATAATTTATTAAATATGGTGCACATCTTCGTTCCATGTTTGAACTTTTTGCAACAAATATGCGTAAATAATAGCGTTCGTAATGGACACTGTCAAGGTTGGATTTGCACGAAAAACGATATACTGAAAGCGAGTTTTTTTTATAATTGTAATATTGTGGCCGTAATAAATGCTAATATGAAAACACTCATTAAGGTTAAAGAGCTTTCCGTTCTTTTCTAAGTGTTCAATTTCATAATTTCCGTTTATTGTCAGACACAATAACGTTTTTACGTTTGCATTTGGTTTTACTCTCCCAGGCACTTTAAGATAGCAGTTTTTTTCTAACCAAAAAAAGTCAAACGTAGGTAGTATATTAATACTATTACCGTCGATAAACGCATATCAATTTCGATCGGTTGATAAACATGACAATCTTTAGAAAATTTACAAATTTAAAAATTAAAAAATTTTTTCACTTTTATATCGTAATAAAAGTTGTAAAACATCTCAGAAATATTGTTATAACATTTCAATAATCCTTATAAGATTACTGCCAAGTCATTTTGACTGTTTAGCAGTGCTAATGTTAAATGTTTCAGACAACAAATATCACTTTTTAAGTGTTTCATACAATAAAAGAAAGTATAATCTTTATTTTGTTTATTTATTACATTATTTTATTTATTATACATTATTTTAAAATTTCTGCGCTTTTGTATATTTCATTTACATTTTCCGTATTCGTAACTTTTTGATTCACGATTGTGACCATTTCTAATGATTACGTTTGTTTTATCTTTATCAGACTGCGATTATATTATATTTTTTTTCCATGAGACCCACATACAATCATAGATACGTGAGAATATAGTAGCATCTTACATACATCGCTACAGTTTTATGCCGTCGTCGAATTGCAGTGTTAAAGATATTCTGGTTATGCAATACATAAATGCAATAAAAAGTCACAAAATATTTGAATATCAAGTGAGATCAGGATTAATCGCACAAGTTTACTGGAGTATCTATAATTAGATAATAGTATTTTCAAACGAACTTTACTCGCGGCAATAGATTTATGATTAATCGTCTTTAATTTTCATTTTTGTATTATACAGAAGTCGGTGACGCATGTACGATAGATAAGGATTGCAGATTTAATGGCAGTGCACACTGCGATAATGATTTTAAATGCAGTATCGCGCAACCTGATAACACACCTGAATCTTCGTATACTTATCAAGTTCGTCAACAATATTATTCAATTGAATCAGGTTTGTATTGTTTTTCGTTACTAAGTCCCACATATAGCGTGTAATTATAAATGTGAATGTGACCTTTGCATAGAAGCTGACATGGGTAACTGTTCAACAAACCAAGATTGTAAACATATAGGAAATGCGTTTTGCAGTCAATCAGGCATATGTGTCTGCGAACGTGCTCATTTTTTCTCTCAAAAAGGAAGTAGATGCGTTCCAGGTAAATCAAATTAATTTATAACTGTTTAAAACTTTTTAACACTACAAATTTAGTAATAATCATTGTGAACAGTGTATGTACCAATTTAGAAGAAAACTATTTTTAATTTTTAAATGATAAAGAACATCATCATTTTACGGAAAACTGCTGTTTTAATTTTAGTTCAAACATTTTTAGGACAGACCGTGTATGAAACATTTATTTTGAAAGTGGTGTAAATCCACATTTCGTTGTATATGCGGCAAACTGCATCAATCTGTGGACAATCGAACATTGTTGTTCATATATCGTGCTGTTAAACAGAATGATATCCTTAATATTGTTACAAAACATAACAATTAACTTATTAATGACTACGTTACATTCATACGCGAGTGAGAATTAAGATTTAATTAATTTGCAAATAATCCTACAAATAACAATAAAACAATTGCAGGTTCTAATTAAACGATATTAATCGTTTACATATGTAACTGGGTGAGTCGCCAAACGTTAGCACCTCAAATATCTTTGTTTCTTCTAAAGATACGTCAAATGTTTTAAACAATTTTTTATTTTTATGTCATTTTTTTAGAGATATCAAGGTCACCTTCGTTATTTAAAATGGAACCACCCTTTTTTCCATGACCTTGAATGGCCTTGAATAAGTATAATCACTGAATTCCTAATGAAAGCGACTATCATTGTAGGTGTTTAAAAAGGGTGATTCCATTAAAAAAAATCAAGTTGACCTTGATATCTCTAAAAAAATGACATAAAAACTTTGTCCTTAAGACATTTGACGTATCATTAAAAAGAACAGAGATATTTGAGGTACAAGCGTTAAGGGATTCACTCTGTATACATGGAAACCGTGAATCATAGTCGTTAGTAGTAATTTTCAAATATTTTATAATCCTAAGTCTTTTATAACGTTTCGTTAACAAATTAAGTAGTACAATGAAAAGCAAATATATTTCTAGAACTTGGCGAGTCGTGCGAAACAAGTGATACTGCTGTCATTGACTATTCGGAATGTATAAATGGCAAATGGAAGTGCCAACAAGGAAGGGTTACGTCTGTGAACAATATGGAATGTCTAAAAGGCATGTAATCGCTACAGTTACATACAATAACCTTTAAATATGATGTGCTCATACCGAATAACTTTTTCCACCTTCTGCAGTAACAAGCAAGTACCAGTACTCCTGTCTTATCAATGAGCAATGTCAAATCTTTGGTCCCGATGCTATCTGTAATGACACAAATGAAGGTAGAAAATGTTTTTGCGGCAGTAATTCTCGGTACATCGAATCTGAAATGTTCTGCTGGATAAAGAGAGGGCTCAACGAATCATGTACAAAGGACATAGATTGTCACATCGATGGTACCAGCACCAAACTATCTTGCACAAACAATGTTTGTTCTTGCCCCAGTGGAACTCATGCGAATTCAAATCGCACAGACTGCGTGGAGAATTACGTAGGTAAACGGACGCATTTCTCTTTAGAATTTCGAATATATCTTTTGGAATAAACTTCTACTTTCCAGATTTTAATGCTTATTTAATGATTTTAAATGCAGTAAACTCCCTCTTATCCGGTCCGATTCTAACCAAATTCCGCGGTAACACATTTTCGTTGACTGGCCCAGCGGTCAAAATAATCGATACATTATTCAGATAAATAAATATAAAATTTACTAGGTCTCTCGTATATAACGCGTATAACGCTAAATGTAATTTTTAACATTTCTGTAGGGACCGGTTAACAGGGAGTCTACTATATCAGAATTAATATTATAATTTTCTGTATTTACTCAAATGGACGAAATTTAGAAATAATTTCAACAAGTTTGTTATTAAAGGTATCAATTCCACTTGTATCACCAGCAACGATTGTGCACCAAACAACACGGAATGCGTAGAATTCAATGACTCGGGCAAACGTTATTGTGCTTGTGAGAAAAATTATGTAGCAGCCTCATTTAAATCCTGCGTACCAGGTAGGTATTGGTAGTATGTAATTAGATGTATGTACAGGATTTCCTGGACGGGTGGTATAAGCGTGTGGGTAATTCTACATGGAAAGTTAAGTCGAAAATATAGAATAAAATTTGTTCGTATGATGTTTCGGTTCCGAGATAATCAATTTTTTAAATTCGTCTACATAACACGTATTATTAAGGTTGCCAACCGTCCCTTTTTGGAAAGGACAGTCCTTTAATCAGCCTTCCTACCCTTGTCCTTTTTTGAGTTTAGAAAAAATGCCAAATGCCCTATATTTCAAAATTAGAAATCTCTTGCGGCTGAATGATGACATTTGGCGTTGTAATTTGAACAGTTGGCAAGTCCTCAAATCTGCCAAAAATCAGAACAAATATAATTTAAAAAATTAAAAGGTTTACTTTAGCTTTAGTTTTAAAAGTTTCAAATATTATTTTGTTTTTCTACATTCTTGAATTAACATTTTTTTTTATTTAATTCTAATGATTATTCTAATAATGCATCTTTTGTGTTTAATGAGTCGATATATTATTATCTAAATTACTATAGTACAAAAACTTTTCTCGATTGTTTTCGAAGTTTTAAGAAGTTGTTCGTTCACATGAATATTAATTCTAAAATTGTATTCCAATAATTTACGATAATAATAAAAAAGGAATTAATATAAATATATTTTGTAGTGTCCTTTATTGCGATTCGACAGAGTTGGCAATCATGTGTGAATGAAATGTATTCATTTTGGTCCAAAAGATTTCTCTGTGTCTATTTATGATTGGATTTCGGGTGATAACGATTTTGTGAATGCACGCGTAGTTCGAGAGCAAAGACCTAACCCAGACATAACCCGACAAGTATTGAAATTCTGTTACCACGGAAACGAAGCATCATATGAAAAAATTGTGTATATTTTTTACTTATCTTTGCACAAGATATCGACCTTCTGCTTGGTTGTATCACCCATCCTGTGATACTCTGTATTAAATACGTGCAAAAAGGTGACAGTTTTTTCTGTCGTAAAACCTTCATTATGAACATCTTTATTATTTATGAATATATAACAGCTGTGATGGTACATATCTGTTATTTTTTTGTTACAAGTTGAATTTCCTGTCGGTAGAAGAAAATAAAACCAAAATACCAACTTAAAGTTTAATGGTCATTTCTTTCGCAGACACCTCATAGTAATATTGTGACAATTACTGAAAGAAATGAATTTGAAAAAATATATTTTACATACTTAAAAAAACTTCCATACAGTATAAGCTCGAATATTTAAAGTATTTACCCAAACTTTTATGCCAATATTACTTTACAACTGTATTCTGACCTTTAAAGTAAACAACCATATTATCAAACGTGAGAAAAAAAAGAGAAAAATATTCGCATTGAATACTTTACAACACATGACAATAAAATTATTCTGCAACCTTTATTGTCAGACAACGTATAATGAATTCTTTATAATTTATAAGAATCTCCATTAATTTCGCGAGGAACGAAAACACGTTTCTTCTTTATACCTCCTCATTGTTAATACGCTGATAAATTATTAAGTACCATAAATAAAAGTCAAGGTAGAAATGATTGGATTAAAAAATACAAATATTGTTTGGTAGATCATTTTCTTCGGGTTCGGTGACATTGAATACGTGAGTTTGTATTTATAAGTCGTACGTATTTGAGAGATGAGCAGTAATATATTCTTCAAACTTATTTACTAACACAACCCGGTTGTTTGAAGGTTATTGAATTCTTTTCGTTATCAACTACATAAAGCAGCTTATGCAAGAAACGTTTACGTCGTATAACGACTCACAATATCTCTCTACCACATAAAAATATGAGGCGTAAAAAAAATGATCTGCCAAATATAGATCTATTTTGCTCAATCAAATACTTTCCTCTTCATATTTGTTTAATGTGACAAATAAAAAACAAGTCTATACAAGCTGCGATTAACTTTACGTAATACGAAATGCAAAATACTATACTATTAATTAATTAACATTAACGTTTATGTATTTTTAGTTGCATCATTTGGGGACCTTTGTGATATTGACATTCAGTGTTCTACGAAGGTGTCAAATGCAATTTGTTTGGAAACTGATAACTCAGATCAGAATAAAACTTGCAGTTGCAGGAAGGGCTATCATTACAAATTTCAGAATTGTTTTGAACAAAAAGGTGAGATTATGAAAATTTTATATATATAGTATGTATATAGTATTGTGAATGTATATTGTAAAAACCGAATGCAAAAATTACGCTCGTCGAGTATAACTTAGTATTGTGTCATTATTTTATTTTATCGTTGAGGAGCTCAATTTTTGCTGGAAAAATGGAAAACATTTATAGAACATGGAGGAAGTTGTTTTGTGTAACAAATAGTACAGCAAATATTCAGTATTTTAAAGATTTTTCATGGGAAAACAACCATTACTTTTTCACACACCTAATAATATTGATACAATTCAGTACACAATTTAATGAAAAACAACTGTTTTTAATGGTAATACTTGTTTGAGTTGTCATTAAAAGTAGTATTAAAAGAAAGTTTTAAGAAAGTACACTGAAACGAAAACGAAATAACATTAACTGACTGGTAATTATTGATCTGGTAGGGTAACTCATGTTTGAACCGGACAAAAGAAATAGAATCATTAAATAAGTAACAGATAATATCAGCAGAAGGAAACAAAAAAAAACGAATACATTATAATCGTCAAATCTGCGACAGTTTTGCCTCAGGGTAGTATTTGTCCAATTAATACAATGAGCACGTGTCAAACCACAAAGGGTGGATCACGCAACTAAGACAAATCATATCTTCGTATTCGATTGTAGATAGAGAAAAAAGTACTAGACAAATAATTTCGTGGTATTATAAGGTTTACATTTTTATTGCCGTATTATTTCTACGAGTAGTTCATTGTTTTTAATGAAAGCAAAATTTTTTTAATAGATCCCTGTCTTTGATTATTGTACGTATCTAATGAATTAAAAACATTCATATTTTTTATGAAAAATGGTTACCTCAGTTTGAATTTGTTGCTAATTTTTAATTTTTCAACACACAAACGTCCAGGGAAAAAATTCGATTACTCTTTGTTCCTAATTTTATTTAATCTTTCATATCAAATTCCTAATTCGAACTGTTCTTCATGATTAGTTGGTTTTTTATCTTACATTAATTATAAGTTGTTTTTACGTAGATATGGATATAAATTCTTATTGCAAATTCTTATCTCTTAAATCGAAGTAAACTAATCTGAACAGCGAAGAAATAACCTACAATTTTTAACTTTCAAAATGTTAATATATAATTCTTACGAAATAATATATAATTCATCATAAAAAGCAAGTGTCGTAATACTTACGAACGGTAGCATGCAATGAATATCAAAGATCATAAATTTTTATAGAGAGTAGGTACTGATCCTACGCGCAAGTAAGACTACTTTATTTATTGTAGTAATTGTTCAAAAGTTAGAAAAATATGTACGTTTACGGGCAATATCCATTATTATCATTGGCAAAATGTCAGTGAAAAAAATCCACTCTAATCTAAATACGTAATTGTAAGGAAAGTGAAAATACTATAACACAACCTGTCGCCATCTTAGTTCCTCATGATTTTTCATTAGACTGTATTACTTCTTTTACACAGTCAAAAATCTTTTGTATTAGCTTGTACTTCGCTAAATAAGTTTACCGTTCCAGATTTTGAAAGATGGATTCATCCTGGCCTCTTTCAATCAATTTAAGGTGAATCAATGTTTGGCCATCAAGATTTGGCCTATCCCCCTTAACACCCATGGATTTGGTCAATTTGACCCAAAGTCGATGTTTGATTCTTACTTATATTTTTTTTAAGACAAGTTTCTATATGAATTTGACACCAACGCCGTACATACAATATAATCTAGCGACAAGAAAATATATTTCCTTAATTCCATTTTAATTCAGGCACTATTTAATTGAAGAAATGTTAATTCAATAGATTACTGAACAGTGACGAGGGTTAACAACAATTTGGGCTCCTAAAAAACTACGAGTCGCAAATGTTCTCACGTACTATATCTATGCCAAGTTTCATCGACATCGGTCTGTCGCAGTTGCGTGATGTTCCTTTTTAGTATAGTTCCGTCACACTCGCGTAGCTCGTTAAACAGAAGATATGGCTGGCTATCAATGAAAAATACAAAATATTTGGTAGTCAACATTTTTCAAGTATTTATTGTTAAAGAAAGAATTAAAGTTACAGAACAATGGACCTATTCACGTCGGCAGAAATTGTTCTGTCAGTCCTTTGCATTTACAACCCATCAGAGAAAAACGTCTAATTTAACTCATTACATCAGTCACAAACTATAATATTAACCTCTTAACTTGAATTATTATGTGTTACCATAATATATAATACATGCTCCAATAAACACGGGCAATGAAAAATAATATCAAGAAAGTCATAATTGTATAAAAGAATTATTATTATAGTATTTGCATAATTTAACCTAATGTTAATAATTTTTATGACTTTTCGTAAGCTTAAATATCGTGATTATTCCCATATATCTATCGATAAACACAAGCGTCGGGAGTGTAGCTTTCCAAAAGTTTGCTTTATTATTTCAATATACATTCAAATATTTTAATTTTTTGTCCTCATATGTGTAAGTATGCGACAAAAGTATCTTTCAATTCATGATTTCCACGAACAAAAAAGTGACTTCATATTGACGAATTTTGTTCAAAAAGAGAGCGCGTTAAGGGGTTAGCGTTTATCGGTAAAACCACTGCTATTTAGAGTTTGTTAAAGTTCACTAAGACATTGCATGTGCGCCGGTGAATGCATTTAACTTTAATTTGGTTCTTACAGTTCTTGGTGAAAGCTGCCGGAATCTTGGGGAATGTTATCTGGATTCCAACGTGGACAGGGTAGTCTGCAAGAATGGGCAGTGCGCATGCGATTGGGGTTACATTAAAGTAAACAGTACTATGTGCGGAATACATCGGAACCCTCCACGTTACAGAAACGGTAAGCAACCTTGACTCGTGACCGATCGAAAGGTTTCCTTTGCATTTGATTTCCGTGGATGCCGGAGGCACGAGGGGATCGAAACTTAAACGAGTAGTTTTTTGATTCGCGCATGAAACACTTTTATGCGGCAAGGTAATCCGCTTGCTATTACGTTCTTGACCGGTCGCATGCCGTCTTTGAAGTTGCGTTGCAATTTCTCCGATTCTAGAAGACGATAAAGCATATCTGCAAAGCGACACAACCTGTCTGTAACCGTACATTTTCGCGGAAAACACGGACAGGGAGTAGGGATCTTCCTAGGGAGTATTAGTCTTTCATTATTTGCTCGTTTTACATGCGGCGTTAAGAACATTAAGTAACAGATGAGCGTTTTAAAAAGTATTAGTGATATTTAGACTGTGGATTTTTATTGCAAATTCATATTTTTATATATTCATGTTCAAAATGGAAAGTAAATGAATATTTCTTTTTAATAGGGGTGGGCTGGAATATGAGATTTTAACTTTGATTACTAATACTTATAATTATGTTTTTGAAAATACTCACTTGTCGAGTTTCGCATGTTTCGACCAATTTTTATTGTCACAAATAGATGTTTGAAAGTATTAAATTGAATGTACAGAGTGTTTTAGAAGTGTAAATAAAATTTAAATACGCAATAGATTTATAATGACTCGTATACAAATAAGTAATTCAAACAAGGAAATCATATAATATAACATAATACTTACAAACATATATTTTCGTTATAATAATATTATGTTGTCAATTAAATCGTATTGAAAATGTTATTCTCTTCTTTCAGGCACTACGATCAATGGCATTTCTGGAGGATTACTGTTAATAATGCTACTACTCGTAAACATTTGTAGTTCGATTAAACTATGATTTTGATGGAAGTATGCATTACGAATATAATGCAAATATTATTCACTTCCCTTAGCAACAAAAATGCGGGATACGTGATAAGATAGATCAAGTAGTTTAAGTATTTAAAAAGTGATATCAATATTTGCAAATAAAATATGACACAAAAGTTTTATATATTTGCTGTGGCGATATTCTAGGATAAACGACGTCTGAAAATTTTATAGTAATCTTAGTACGGACTGATCTTAAAAACAAATCCAATATTATTTAATATTGTATAGACAATAACGCAGACAAACAAGAAAAATGCATATAAATGTAAAATACAAACTAACATTTTGTTTATGGTAACACAATATGAAATTCTTTTTTTGCAATTAAGTAGTCTCTTTTATTATATAAAGAGTATAATAATAAATATACTATATACTGTATTGCATCTGCTGAATTCTTCTGTGTAGTAGCTTATTCTTGTGTTCTGACTTCTGATCTTTGTATCACTGTAAAGAATACACTATACTTTGTAATATTTGTAATTTATTCTGCAGTATTTCTTTATAATAAGCGCATGTTTCCGACCAATCACTCGTTTTATGAAATAGTCTACAAAAATCTTTTCAATAGTAAGTTGAAAACTTATGAATTTCTCAAACGCGCCTGAAGAGATTTTTTTTATGTACGCATTATTAATTGCAAAATACTTTACGTATCATTAGCCAAATATAAATTAAATTGTGCCTTTATAATAACACACTGACAATGTGAATATTCTCATATTTCACTATTAAAGTCGAACATATTCATGTTTAGATGCAAGGAAGTTATGTTCTAGACATAATTCACTATTACACCCAGATAAATCTTGACAGAAGGAATCATTAATTAGGTAGTCAACGGCATATACAATACAATCTCCTGTCAGAAATGGCTAACGAGGTCAGAAGGTTCGCCATAAACTCATTAAAATCATTAAAAGCACTTAATCCCAACAGAACCAGTGTTGAAATAAAGGCGTTGGTGGAACTGAAGCAAACAAAAGACATTCTCTTTCTACCCGCAGACAAAGGAAGCACGACGGTCGTACTTAAACCACAATTAAACAGGCCAGTGGTCCTGATCACATACAGAAAACAGTCCTTTTTTTATGGACTCCCAAAACAACACGAACGTGACATGCCACTAAAACCCATAGTCAACAGTATCGTGTCACACACACCCAATCTTGTCAAATACCTTACATCCATCATCAAACATCTAACAGGTAATAAAAACAGTCGCATAGTCTGACTCCACGGAACCCAGGCATTCACACTTATCGGGACATTACTGTACTGCAATATTAAATATTATGAAAATGTTGTAACTCTGGGAAAGGAAGGGGGGTGGTCAAAATCCAATTCTTTCTTGTAGGGTGGGGCAAAAGCCATTTTTTCCGTCCAGGGGGGGCAAGTGCCCTCACCTGCCCCCTGGCTACGCTCATGTACAGGACCGTCGCGATCTAAACAAGATACTACTGACATTCTCACCTATCTATAATTGCATGTGGGTGTTTTGGAAAAAAATACAATATAATCCCGGCTTGCTAAGGGTAAAATGAAAGTAAACATTATAAAAAGTCATAGTCGTTTATCAGAAAGTAACGAAATTTCATTTAAGAAAGCGTTCTACGCTGATGAACATACAATGAAGCAATAAATAAAGAAAATAAAGATTATACTTTCTTTTATTATATAAAAAATTTGTAAAATGATATTTGTTAAACTGAAACACTCATATACCCATATGTGACTTTTTTTAGTTAGGTAAAAACCGCTATCTTGAACTGTCTGTGAAAGTAAAACCTAATGCAAACATTAAAACTTGTTGTGTCCGTCAATAAGAGGAAAGTTTGAAATTTTCGACTCAGAAAACGGAAAACTTGAAGTTTAATGGGTGCTTCAATGTCAGTATTCATTGCAGCCACATTTTTTTTTAATGAGATAGCGTTTCAATTCAATACACATAGTGAATCACAAAGTGTTAATATGTGATCCCTATTTTCAATTTATGTACGTACCTTTCAGATCGCAGTAGAGTTTAATTTTACGAACCAGTTGTAATAACGTCCTTGGTGTGGTATAAATCCATCACTGGAGATTGTTCCTCTTGATAGAAGACAAATTAGTGAGCTGGTAGATTAGATATTTCAGCAGCCTTATGGTATAAATTTAGTGCCTAAGACATACTGAACCCTAATAAATCAGAATGCCTGTTACTGGTGCAATAGGTATAATCAACTTACCTGTCGTTACGATCGATATATGGAGATGTGCTATTAATCGACAGGCTATTCTGAGCTTCCACGCTGACACAGAAATATCATGGTTTATCTTTTGATAGGCATATTTAGCGATCATAGTTATAGATGGACACGTATTCCTGGCGCAACTAGTGGAATAAAGTTCATCGATCTCTGGTACGTACTAAGTAGACTGCATGTTACAATTTCTTACAGTCAGGATACAAGTACCCGACTGCTTAAGGTCATTCGGTTAACTACAGATCACGTTAAATACAACTTTCCACTCGTGCAGTATTGAAGCTTTCAGTTTCGTAAGATACAAAACGTATGCTTTACCTTTGGACAACGAACGTGTAACGGTAAAGTTGTAATGCGAAAAATAAGTACTATTTAGTAGAGACTTGATATTGCGTGAATTGTATTCTTATATGCAATGACTTTTATCAAATAAGGTAGCGTTCATTTTAATGAAATCTAATACCATCTTTCGTTGAACATGATATCGCCTCTTTAAATTATACTAATTTAACTGTAAGAAGTGTCAACTCCGTATTCAAATATCATTACAAATTATTATATTTGTTATATCCCGTGATAAATCTGTCTGTCTTCTGGTTTTGGTGAGTCTTTGTGCTTACTGTGGCGAGATTAAATAAACAAATATGGATATTGAATGTGTACATGTTTGTCCTATACATATGCTTTTATTGTATTTATCTTTCTTGTTATATTGATGTAAATATTATTTTATTATTTAAAAATAACCGACAAAATCTATAAATACTATGATGGAAAAGCATTCTAAAATGAAAATTTATATTCTTGGATAATAAAAGTTTTATTTTCTTCTTGTTGTTTTGTACGTTTGCATTAGTCAATATTTGTTATTTTTAGAAAAAGCATTCAATTATTGATGTATACAATATCCTAATGAAATAAAATGAAGACTACTTATCATATTGACATATTATAAACCTAGAACGATCGCGGCGCAAGTTTGACACTGACGAATCGAAGGACATCCGCAATCACTGCCGCAAGTTGGATACTGATCAGTCTAATGACGTTTGCATCAAACGGTTAAATACATTAACTTATATTTGCCTTACGGGGCAGCCTCGACAGCCCAAAAAGAGGTCCTTTTCCAAACGCAAATTCTGAAGTAATAAATGAATATAGAGAGTAATGTTTTTTTTATTTTGTAATCGTTGTTTCGTGAACATTGATACAAAAACAGACTATTTTGTTGTTATACATATACAGTGTGAGTCTCGTAACGTGACGACTTCAAATAACTCGTAAGTTATTATCGTTTAAGCCCTATTTGCTGTAATACTTTTTTACGCAGAATTTGGTGCTTTATCCGAATTCGAAAAAAATATTAAGCATTCCATTTAAAAAGCTGAAGATGACACTCATATCTCGATAAAAAAACAAAGTAACAAAAAACAGATTACAGCGCTGTATGCCCCCCTGGAAACCATGCAACATTTGTTCACATAGGTTTAAGTGGTTCTTCTATTTGCACTATTGTATTTTCCAAGTACTGCCTACTTCAATACTCGATCCAATTTGTTGATATTTTCACTCTGAACAGTTTTAATGGTATTCTATTAAAAATCATCAACACTCCGTCAGGTGTAATAGTTTCTGTAGCATCAATGGGCGCAATGTTCCTGGAAGGTTGATACAGTTCATAGTAAGATGTTTATTTTCTATTCATACAAAATAATATCCTTCTTCTGTTTGTAAATAATTTATTTTAATGATATGACTATTTTACTGATAGTATTAGTGCTATTGCAGTATTAGGTAAAAAATAAAAATACCAGAAATACTTATTGATTGGTACTGGTATGGTTGTTTTTACGTCGCTGTGCCTGCGAGGCTAGTTCCGTCCGACGGAAGATTAAAACTACCTATCACAGTGTAGTAACTTTAGCAGAAAACTTTGAAACTTTTGCTAAAAGAATTCTTTGAACTATATTCTAGCGTATGTGTTTATCAGCTACCTTGTAAGTCAAGTTAAGCAATTTACTGCGTGCTACAATTTATATTAGTGGACAATAATTTAAGGACAACCGGTTCTACATTTCAATACTTGCTCCCTTCTCTCCACTTATGATTTCGGGTGTAGATCACGTGAAATGTCAAATATAAATAAAATAAATGAGCATATTTCATAACTGAATTTGACATTATAAGTAATGGGCTAGATGTTCTTGAAAAACCAATGTTATTACTAAGTGATCAGTATCAACGCATAACATAATAATTTTCTCTGGATGTAATTAATATACCTGTAATTTAGTAAACATCACGACTAAAAAATTAATTTATGGAAACAGCCAATATCAACCGATTATTCAAGATTAGAATGAAACAACAAACACGCGATTGGAAGATTAGTTAAAGATTTTAAGACTATTTTCACCAGTAGGGCAACGTTCTTGAGCCAAGCCTTCGATGACGTCCTAACTCAAATGCGTCACGACAATGACGTAGCGAAGAAGAGAGGTCAAGGTATACGATTTAAATACTGATTCACACTGCGACGAACCACTTCTGTTACCTACTTTATTCATAGCAGTGATATACATATTACACTTGCGAAAAAATATTTAACGAAACTAAAGAAAACTTGTTCCAGGGAGTTTTTATTATAGTTAGGGTAATAGTCTATGATTTATAAGTTGCTTTAAGCTGTATAGATTCACTTTGCAAAATTATATATGTA